AGAAGATGAAAGAGCAAAACAATAATTAGAAAAATCTATTTCAAGAGTTGCATATGAAAACCTAATGATAGTAAAAACTTAAAAAAAACTCTCACACACACATTTTTGTTGGTATTGGTAAACTTATAACTTTTTCTATACTTGTATCTTGTCATGGTTTCTTTTATAGACATTTAAAAAAAAAAATTTTTTTGAAATTTTTATTTCTTTGGATTTTTTGATATTTCTATTTCAAGAGATGTATTGTGGAAGTATGCAGGCCTTTCTTGGAACTTCTATTTTTGAAGGCTCGAAAAGAGATCTTGGAATAAAACCTGGGCCAAAATAATTTGTGGAACAATGTATGAAGGGATGCTGAAAAGTTCTTGGCCTGACCAAGAAGAGATTAGAAATAAAGTTCTGTTTGTCCAGATTTTGAGATGTGGGTCAGTCAGAGCTTTCAGTACCTATTCTACTCGAAATAGTCACCTAATCTCTTTCCCATGCTTAATTTATCAGGCATCTGATGCTAGAATTGAAAATATATTCTTTTTAAAGCTGATTTATGAAAAGGTTTTATGAATTAGTTGAGTTTTTTTTTTTTCCTATAACTGCATTAATGTTAATATTATTGAAACTAGTGCGTTTCTGCAGTGGTATAATTAACCCCCTAATTGCAGCAGACATTTCATTCATAAATGAGCCGTAGAACTCTAATGATGGAAATACCCATTTGCAGTTAATGGATTAAAGTAGACTTAAATTGTATATGGCATTTAAAGCTGTTTATATCCTCTTAGTTTGGTTGAGGCTCACCTTTTCTTTAGTGCCACTCCCCTGTGGAAAATAGGCCTGTATCTTCACCATGTGAGATGTTTTCTATAGAAAGTAGGTTTTTACAGGGTGGATTTGCCAGTCCAATGCCCAACTGGTTTTGAATTTGGTTATCCTCCTGCTAGACTGGTTGCCAACCAAAGTTAGAGAACCCAGTCTGCTCTACTATTTAACTCCTTGCTGAGGGAGAAGATATGGATTCATACCTATCCCAAAGGTTTTTGTATGAAAGTAAATTTAATGAACTTGGCTATAATTTGAACCTGGCATGCCGATTCTACTTTCTACGCTAGTGACTGCTGCTGTACATGCACATCTTATTGAAATTATACTGTAAATGAAATTAAATCACAAAATTTTCTTTTGTACTTGTGTTCAGATGTTTCGATGTACCTTATCACATGTTGAAGTTATCGAATTCATATTGAACTAATTTCAGCCGCCTTTTATTTCTTACATTATTACTAAGCATTAATAGCTCTCAAAGTTAGGCAAACATTTAAGAAAATGCACATGCTATTTTTATATAGGATTGTAATATTGTTAGAATGTTTGACCTAAATGTATAAACAGCTGAACATGTCTGGGCATGTCATACTGATGACTTTTTTTTTTTTCTTGCCTTTTCCTTTTTCATGCCTTTTCCTTTTTCATGAAAATTTCTCTTGATGCTTTGTCTGATATCTTATTTGATAGTGAGCTTGGTACTCAATATAGAGTAGACTTTACTATGGCTACTGTCTAAAGGTATATAAACCTTGTGAGCTAGGGCTTCATTTACATGAAAAATTTTTCTTTTTCCCTTTAAATATTAAATGTCCAATTATATAGAGTATTTGTGCCAGTGATAGGATCTTGTTTTACTTTTAATAAAAATATTAAAAGATGACAAAACTTCAGGTTTACTTAAATAACATTACATAATAAAATTACTTTTCAGATGATGATAAAGCTTGTCAGTTAATTTTGTCAATTCTGTGTGACAAAGAAAAATTTTAAAAAGTGCACTAGTAAATAGTGTAAATTTTTTTTTTTCTCAAGCCTTATGAAATCTGTTTATTGAATAGGGCTCCCCCATATTTTTTTTTTTTTTTATATACTGTAGGGCCCATTTTCATTTTAGAGTTCCTGTTTTAATTTTACACACAGTTAATATAAAAAATTTATTTTTAATTTTTGGGGGCTGTTTTTCTTTTCATTGTTCTGTGTAGAGAAATGAAAATATCTATCAGTAAACAAATACATAAATATTTACATTTCTGTATTAATCTTTATTAGTGAGTGTACTTGTGTTCAGAGATTCATTCTTAGGATCATTTTCATGTAGTTTGAGCTTTGCTTAGTGCCATATGCAAAGTGGCTTTGAAACATTCCACAATGTAATTTATATTATACAGTACATTGGCTTTCTTTTATCAATTAGAATTGAATGGAACAATTGCAGTGGGTTGAGAAAATTCATTTTTGAACTTTTTTTTTTTTTTAGCTTTCTATATCCATATACATTTGTGCATATATAAATGTACTTAATTCTTAATCCTGTTTTTTTTTTTTGTTTTTTTTTAAATTTAAAAAAACTAATAGAATATGAACATATGATCACTTAAAGTAAAAATGAGTGTGTTAAGAGTATGTTGGTTTAAATTTGTTAGCTGTGTTTTCCACAGCAGCAGTTGGCCTTGTCAGCTATATGTCCAGGTGTGGAGGAAGAGGAGATATAAATGCTGGCACAGACAACCACATTGTTATCAATCAGCTTCATCTTACTACTGGCATCTATTTCCTCTCCATCTTGATCATCAAATGCACCTTTTAACAGGCTCTATTGATCTCTACCATTCCTCTCCCCGTTTCTCTGGTTGCTGCTACCATCATGTATTTTTGAGGAGGTTAAGATTGGGAGGTTTACTGTTCAATAATTTGTGTATGCGTGGGTGCATTGTGTCTTGTGTATAATTTTGTGCATGTTAACGTATGCATGTATATTATGCACATACACACTATTTATTACTGTTAATTCATTGATATTACTTGGTTGCTTTTTTGTTAATACTAGTCATCTATTGTGCTAGACTAAATGTTGGTATCTGCTTGGCATTCATTCTGTTCAACTTTGATTTTTGAAATTAAAATATCCAAGTATCTTTGTCATACAAATGTTTTAGATGTTAGCATAATATCAGGACGTGCCTTTAAAAGACTGAATATGTTTCTTGAATGTTCAGAAAAGTTTTTTTTTTTTTTTTTAATCTGAAAATATAACTTCTGGAGAAAAAAATCTCTACATCTTACTAAATTTCTTAAAAGTACCTGAACAAAAGTTAGGGCTGCTGAAATTTTTAGATATTTATTGATACCATTCATAACTTATACTATCCCCAAAATAGTGTATTGACTAATATGGCATACTTTTGAAGTTTGTGTTTGTCTACAAGATTGGATCAATAATCATGATCACTGAATTTTTATCTGAAATTTTCTCTGTATAATGTTTGATTTATGTCAATTAAATTCTTGAAAAATATTTGAATGAAATCATTTCCATTAGATACAGACTATGTAATTGTAGCATTACAAAAAATACCAAGATATAGTCAACTATATTAACAGCATTCAATTCTTGATAAAAATTGAAATGATTAAAAGTACTTAAAGATGTGAGCTTTGGAGAGTTTATCTAAAATTTTGATTTGGATAATTTATTTGGAAATTAAAAATACAATATATAATTAAGTAGACAGACCTTGGTTGAATTTAAACTTATGTCTTAAGTACCAAATGCAAATGATGGGCTTTTAAAATTTTTTAGACTAGAAAATATAGCTCTTAATCAAATTTCATCGGTCTTTAGACTGTATAAAATGATACAATCACAACAAATGAACCTCTCTTAATTCGTTTAAGTCTTTAACCATGTGTTGCCTTTTAAATTGCATGACCTAAATTTGAAATAAATTTATTTAATCAAATTCTATTTAATGTGTTTTCATGAAGTTTCCTTTGATTATCAACAAGCAGAACAAAAATAGTGAAAAGCTTCTGGCAAACTTGACAATACAATTGTAAGCTATTTTTTCTATGCAAAGAAAATATTAAAATTAATAACTAGATAACTCTTTCTGGTTTCATGCTGTTTGAAACTTTCAGTTAAGTCTTTGTTATTATGTAACTCAATTTGGATTAATGTTGTGAAATATGTGTATCTAATGGAATTTGAATGCTATTTTTTTAATTACTAGGCTTTGTTTCAATTTGCTTTTGTCATTTCATAAATTAAGTTTTATCAGTTTTAGAACATGAAACTGCAAATATTATGAGATATAAAGTTAAAATTGATGAGCAGGCAGTGCAGTAATTTTACAACTAGGAATGAGAAATTGGCAATCCAACTTCAAATTCATTGCATTCACTTTTGCACAAATATCTTTAGGGAAAGGCATGAATCCATCTCTTCTCAGCTAAGGTTTAGATAGCAGGGCAGATAGTATCTCTAGGCATAATTGGCAACTGTTCTTGGAGAAGGAAAACTCTGAATGCAAAACCCAGCCACCTGAAGCTGTATAAAAATGGTTAGATATGAGGTGCAGATATTATGTGAAACAAAAAACACCATAGATTTCAACTACTAATGAATAATCCCTTGGTTATCCAGAATACTGTTGACACCAACAGGTATTGGGCTCAAAGAAAGTGGAGAGGAAGATTAAAATAATTTTAATGGATAAACAGATTTTCTTGTTCAATATAATCACACATTCTCTTGTGAGCAATGTAGATTTTTGTATTACATGATAGAGGAATCTTTCATTCCATATATAATTTTTTTCTAAATCATCTTGTTTAGCAAAGAACTTGCAAGTTTCATTACCAGAAGCACAAACTTAGAAATATGTCCAAATCCAATGTTTTGATGTTCTATATTAAATAAAATGTTTACTCTATTAGTAAAGTGAATATACCTTTTGTTGACAGTTTTATATTGCTTTTGATATTTTTGTTTCCATAATACACATTTATAAAAGCCCTAAATATGTATAGAATCAAAGTTACTATCATCAAACTTTGATCAGCAGTTGTTCCTGCCAACTTGGCTCATCCTATTCTTTATACAGTATTCCCCTCAATTAAAATGTTTTGTCCTTTTTGGATTCTTTAGAATCTTATTTCAGTGTCTTTTCTCTTTTCAGTTTGTACTGTACGACTCGGAATTGTCTACTGACCTTGAGTCTGGGCATGGCGACTGAGGTGGTTCCAAATATTGATGATGAGGCTTATGAGCCACAAACCTATGATGAAGCTTTTCCCGCGCTCCATTCTAATAGGAATGACTCCTCAGCCAGTGTCTCCCATGGAGACATTAAACTGGCTGTACGATCTACCAAAACTACTCAGGTAAGTATTCTTGTATATTAATGTTTCCTCAAATTAACATTTGTTATTCGAGTCAAGTGAAAATTTCTTTCATTATTTGGAATGTTGAAGAAAACTTTGTAGCAAGTATGGCAAAACTTGTCTCAAATATGTAACAGAATTTATTAACTTGACAGAACTTGATTTAGTTTTTATTTCTACCTCTGATCTATATGAATGAGCCAAGATCAAATACAGATATTAAATTTACCTGAACATAACTTATTCATGTTAAGTAAAGTCTTATTTTTTATGCGGCATGTCCTTTCAGGACGTGGGCTATCATGGCTCTTCACTGTTTCCTATCCTTTGTAGCTCTTAGCAATGTTTGTCTTTTAACTATTCCTCCCACTACGTTTTACTATCCATTGTTAAGTAGTTTGTTTCCCTCTGTCACTTTTTTCTTCAATATGTCTTAGGAGTGTTAAATTCTCCAAACCTTTTCTCATGTGTCAAAGAAATTTTAAATGTTTCTTTCTAAGTACAAGTATCTTTTTTTTTGTTGGCAGTTTTCTTAAAGCTCACATGCTCCATCCATGGCATTTTCAGACCCACATAACATGAAATTTATTCTTTTGATAATGTGCTTATGTATAATGGGTTTACTTTCCTGGTTCAATTATAACCATAAGTTTTGTGCTTATAGTTTCTTCTCTTGCACTTCTTGCTTGTGAGACTCTTCAAACTTTTTTCTTTTTTTCCAGTCAACTTTGATCTTCAAAAATTTAAATGCAATCTTTGTTAGATTTTGTCTTAATTCCCGTTCTTTTGAGTTTTTCTTTTTCTCTTATCCCTTCACACTCAGTAACCCCTTGTCTTGGTGGCTTTATTGCCTTGCTTGGACTGAAATGATTAAAAAATATTGGCATTTTAAGATTGGTTTTCACCTTTTTAATGTGTTCATATGAATCTTTAAATAAGTCAATGATTATATTGAGATTAAAAAAAAAAATTGTATAGATTTTTCACCAATTTCCTGAATGACTTCCTGTTACATAAGATGTCAAGAAGGTAGGGAAATCAGATATTTTTCTTAATAGCTACTTTTGAAGTTAATTTGTTTACTGTAACTTTGCCAGATGCAAGCATACTTGATGATTATATGTGCCACCAATTTTTCTTTGAAGTATGGCTGCCAGTAACTAACAAACATCAAACAGACCAGCTCTCTTGTTGTTGATATAATTTTAGCATTATAACCTACTATATAACTAAAGTACAGATTCTTCTGTAGGATTGGCAATGCAGTTATCAGAAAAAGGCCTGTTAAAAAAATTTGATGTATTGGAAACTTTTTTTTTTTTTTTTTTTTAATAGATTATAGCTACTTAAAAATAATCTGATAGTAGTTTTTATTATAGATTGTTAGGGTATATTATAAAATTAATAAAAAGTGAGTAAATACCATCCTATTCATAGCCAGTTATTTTGTTGAGCATTGAATTTTGTGTGTGTTAAAATTGAATTGTATTTAACTTTCTCTTTCATTCAGATTTTCACCGTTCCTCTTGAAGAGAGAAGGTTCAAAGAGATTAATGAGCATAGCTTTGGAGAGGAAGGAGAACAGGCAAAGATTTGCCGAGAGATCATGCAGAAAACTGGTAATTATCTTTTCTTTTCTTTAACTTTTTTGTCAGTCCCCCCCCCTCTCTGTTTACTCTTCATTTCTTTTCTTTAGACTTCAGTTACTTAAATTCCAAGTAAAATGACCTTGAGAATTTGATTTGCCATTATTTAACTCTTCACTGACCAAATGATTTTTTTCTCATTATTTTAATCCTCAGTCGGTTTTGTTTGATTCAATTTTCTGTACTTTAGTGGTGAACCATCATTAAAACAGATTGTGCTTTTCTTTTTAGATATGTTTTTTGTTTATTTTTAATACATTATCAAGTATGTTTTAATATTTTGAATTTTTAAATGAAATTTGATAGCAAAGAAATTATACCAGATGTTGTACATAGGTTAAAATATCCTTTTTGTAACTATTTATTTTAATTGCTAGTCATTGTTATTTATTAAGCTTGGTTTAATTTTAACATTAGTTCACAGGTATAGAGCTAACTTGATTTCATTGTGCATCTGCTATTTTTAAAGCAGTATTTATGCAACTCTGAATTTACTTCATTGTACATTACTTTCCTTTTCAATTTTAAATAACTGCTGTCTGTTATCTCCTATTTATGCAACCAGGTTAATGTGCACCAATTGAGCTTATTTTATTATAAGTCATAACAATATAATTTACTTTAACAAGTTTTTGTGTGTTGAATTCATTTTCAGTGTTATTTACTGTCTGAATTCTTGAATTGTCTATGGTACAATGGCTTAGATGATTAAAGCATTGGTTTAATGAATTTAGTGAGATAGTAATTGTTAATTCAACCCCTGGACCAGGTGGTATAGACTCTGACTTAAGTGAAAACCTGGGTAGTAATAACTGAGCAGTGCTAAAAAGGATGAGACAAGATATCCCTAGACATGAACAGTGAAACAACAATTTGAAAAAGGAATTAAATAAAGGGTTCAGTTTTAAATTTCTTGAAAGTTAGCTAGATTTACTAAAAAAAAAAAATGCTGGGGGTGGGTACAACAGCCAAAATGTTGTATAATAATAAAGATGAGGATATTTGTCTGAATATAAATAATATTCATTTCATAATGCTATTTGGCATTGTCTAAACTAATTTCTTTGTCATTCATTTTAATGAATTTCACCATTCTCTGTTCCTCTTTTCTGTTGAATTAGGCACTTCATAAAAGCTCATAAAAAAAAAAAAAAAACTATTTTTATTATTATTATTATTATTATTATTATTTATCTTGTCCAAAAGTGGGATTGCAGGATAGAAAATAATTTATCACCTACAAGGAAGCGGAGATAGTCTAATCAGCGATGAACTTTGGTTTTCAAAGCATTGAATGCAACCAACCAGTTTTTTCCTCCACTGAGATGTTAGAGCTACATCGGAGGAGAGATCAGCTGATAATCTCTGGTCATCATGAGCTTTTAAGCTGCACCCATATGTCATATCGTCAGCATAGATATTAAAAAATGATTGGAGTATATTCTTAGGCAGATCATTGATGTAAAGTAAAAAGGGTTGGTCCAAGAACTGGAGAGAAACAAAAAATAACCTTTAAAACAATCTCTAATTTAACTTGTAATTTTAAATCCAAAATTTGTTTTATAAAAAAAAAAATCAAAAAAATCATTGTTTCATTTCAAAAGGAAATTAGACTGATAGATTTTCGTTGGAATCACATCAATTGGAGCATGTTTCTTGAAATCAAAATTTTAATACAGTTATTAAAGATCCATTGGAAACTTGATCTTCTCAAATGATGTTCCCAAATCACTTACTGGCTGCTCAACTGTGTAAAACATTTATTTTTAAATGCCTAGCATCTATCAAAATATCAGTGGTCAGGTCACATTTCTGAACCTGGGTAGTTGGCAGACAGACCAATTACAATCATCGGGCTGATAACTAGAAATATTTCCGCACTCCATTGTATGGATGTCTAGTATTATTGTTAACGTTTATTTTTAGTTTCTAGCCAACTAATGTAGAGATATTTTATTAAAAGTTGTTGGTTATTTTTTATTTGGAAAAGAATACTTGAAAGTGTATTTTATATTTTGCCCTCTAGTTTGTAAATTGAATTACAAGTGATGCCTTATCAGTCAGGTTACAAGATAGTAAATGAGCAAAAACTGAAAATTAGCTGGATTGATGCTTACATGGTTCCATATCTACTTTATTAAAATTATTTTCTTTAATATCTTTTTTTATTATTTGCTTTTTGGATAAAGTTATCTGTAAAAGGAGTTATTTTGTGATTTAACTTTTTTATTAAACATTCATTATTTAAAAATTTTTCATGGAGTGAAAGAAAAAAATTTATTTTCAAAACAATAAGGTGAATATTTTAAATTTTCTCTAAAGAAAAAAAACTGAAGACTTTTCTACATAAGTTGGCAGATAAAATTGAAGAGTTCACAAAGCAATATTTTCATTCAAATTTTTGAATAACTGAACTCATTTGAATGATAATGATTCAGAATTATAGACTAATGTTCTATTAACTCTTGAAATTTGACTTTTACTCTATTAGTAAAAAAATAAAAAAATTAACCACTTGCCAACAACTGATCTCATGTTAGAAATTTGCTTGTTTTTGATTTTCTTACACTGGCAGTTAACTGGTGATTGAAGATAATTTCTTTTTGATGTCTTGATTGTCCTATTACAGCTAACAATATAATTTCCTAAAATAATATACAATATTTATTTATTAAAAGCAATATTAAACATTTAGTTTTCAAAACTATTATGTAAAATGACTTGAAACTTTGTTTTTAAGGTGTATCCATTGAGATGAGCTTGGCTAAAGACCAGAGTTTGACTGTTGTAATTAGCGGTAAACCTGAAGATGTCATGAAGGCTCGTCGAGAAGTGGTTTCGAATTGCAGACACAGGTAAGTGCCCCCCTTTTTTTTTTTTTTTTTTTTTTTTTTAAAGATGTTGGGTATTTGACAAGTTTCATGGAAGATAAATTTGAAAACTGGTTACTCTTCTAAAATTTTTGATATAACAAATGAGATAATGGTTCTTTATGCTATTACTAATGGGCAGTTTGAAAAAAAATCAGGTTTTGGGAAATATTTTTATTTTATGTTGTGAAAAAAAAATGAACTTGTTTATTGGATTGAAAGTGCCTTGTTGACTTGTAGATATGAAAGATTGACCAGGCCTTAGTATTGGCAAAATTTAATTCTATATTTAAGTGGTATCATTTATATAGACAATCTGCTATTTGAATAAGCAGATGACAGGATGTGAAATTTGTAAATTTAGTTCAAATTGCAGATTAGCCATCTGTGTTCACTTTGACATAAATAACCTTAGGAAAGTCATGAATCAGTCTTCTCCTTCTAGCTATAGATTAAATCGACTGCTGCTACTGTTGATCTAGTTTACATTATCTTTTTTATAATGTAAAATACTAGACAAAATTTCTTTAATCATTTTTATAGCAGAGGACCTGGTGCTATGCATAAAAAAATACTTCTTTAATCATTTTTTCTTTAGATTGAACTAAATGATAGTTTTAATTTTTCACTTCTTTCTCTTTCAATGCTTGTAATCTGAAAAAGAAAATTATCTGTAACCAGAAAATTATCAACGTCTTGATCGGATTTTCATTTATTTTTATTTTATTTATTTTTTTTTTTTTATTTTTTTTTTTACAGGCAAGTTTTTTGATAAAGATTCCAAAGGAGCATCATCGCTTTATCTTAGGCAAGAATGGCAAGAAACTTCAGGAGTTAGAGCTGAGTACAGCCACCAAGATCATCATTCCTCGCACTGAAAACTCGGATTTTATTCGTATTGTGGGCACTAAAGAAGGTATTGAAAAGGCTCGCCATGAAATACAATGTACTTCTGATGAACAGGTGAGTGAGTTTTATGGATTTGTGAACTGGACAGTATTTAAATTTATTCATATTTACCAAGATTAGTTTAGTAGAGCTTAATAAAGCCAATATTTTTGCTTTATTTACTGAATTTTTTAATTTACTTGTTAATTAGGTTGGCTAGTTATAAATTAATATTGAAAACAGAATTGTATAGTTTTTCTCTTCAAGTTAATAAAACTTGATTTCAATGTAGGCATCCCATTTATCATAAAATTTTATATAGAAGCTGATATTTTTTTTTTTTTTCTAATGAAATGATTTCTTTATTAGTATTGTTTTCTGTGAAAACGGCTGATTTGTTAATGAATAGCTTGCAGAGGCTTATAAATGATAACTATTTGTTCATATAAACTATATACTTTTTTTTTTTTTTTTTTTTTTTGTAACTCTTATTTAAATGTCTAAGTGAAGGTATATATTTTATTTGTCTATTTTAAATTGAAATTTTGAATTTTTTTTTTTAATTTTTAAAATTTTTTTTATTTATTTCAGGCAAAACTTGCTTTTGAGCGCCTGCCTGTACCCAAGATATACCATCCTTTCATTTGTGGGCCTCACAACAACAACATCAAGGCCTTGATAGAATCAACAAATGCTCAAATCAATGTACCTCCACCCAGTGTGATGAAGGATGAGATTGTTGTTTCTGGTGAGAAAGAAGGTGTAATGAAAGCTAAAGCCACCATCATGAAGATCTTGGAAGAAAAAGTAATTAAACTTTATATCATAACTTGAATGGCTATTCTGTACATTCTGATGCCAAATTACTCTTGGATTGTACATTGCTACAGTGTAGATTTATAAACAATGAATGTGTAAAATTACTTAAAATTGAATATATTTTGCTCTAGCTTTTAAAGATCAAAGCCTTGAGTTAATTTCATTTGACATTTGTTAGAAATTTTTAGTTATCCTAAATGAATCTAGTAGTTAATCTAGCAGTTACTTAAGAATCTACAAAATATTTTGGGGCCTAAAGAAATAAAGCCAGTGCCTTGCAAAACACAACTGATTACAGAAAGCTAAAGACTAAAATATAAGTTTAGTTTAAAATTTTTGTGCAAGTTTTACTTTTATAAACTGACACAGTTCTGTAGTAAAACATGTGGGTAATAAAGAAATTCTTGGATCATGCAAATTGGTCAAGATTATTTCTTTTTTTTTTTTTTTTCTTTCATCATTTCATCCCAAACAAAGATACAAAATGTTACAAAGAGTGAAAGAAAATGTTTTTGAGAAAGGGTAATAAAAATAAGATTCAAGGAGACAAGATGATTTACATTGTATTTAAATTTTTGAAGAACTTAGTTGACAAGAAAGCAAGAAATTGGTAAAGAATTCTAAGTGAGAAACGTGAAAGAAGAAACTATTAGCATAGAACTTAATGGTTACATCTATCAATTTTAACTGCGAGACCAAGCTGCCAATCTAGTACTATGCTTAAATTTGTGTAGTCAAGGTACCAAAGAGGAAAGCACATCAGAACAGTTACCATGAAAATATTTACATTATTTGGACTATTGTCCTCATCTTTGTCGCCATATTTATTATGTTTCGGCCATTATACACTCCAGCCTTCTTCAGGTGGTTGGAATGTCGAACTTAACCCTTTATTTCGCTCACTGGGGTAGACTGTTCTAGTTCCACGTGCCATGTTTAATGGATGTCAGTTATCTCCTGTTAATTTCTCTCTGAAAGTTCTCCACTGCCTTAACCGGGTATTGAACTTGCACTCTTTGGGTCCTGTCACTGGATCTAACCAACGCCTTTATCCACCGTGCCATGTGTCCTTGAGAAGGGAAGCTATTTTTTCTTTTCTTTTTTTTTTTTTTTAAACCCCTGCTTGTTATGGGGAATATTATGATCAAATTGGAGTGAAGATGAGTTGAGGGGGTCTCTTTTTGACTCTAGTTTTTGCTAATTTATTGCTGGGATATAATGAGGAAGTTTGTTTAGACAAGTATGATGGTTCATTTGCCTATACTTTATTATAGTTATGTAAACAATATATTGTATTTCCCCAAAAAGTCCTTTTTGAATTATTTAAATTCTTAACATTAGTTCAGACAAGTATAAAAAACAATTCCTCATCAATCTTAGACGTCCTAATCACTAAAAATGATGTAACTTAAAGAATTTTTGTATTGGCAAATTTAATTTGAGTTTAAAATGTGCTAATTTCGCCGATTCCTAAATTTTATGCTTATTGTTTTTTCTTTCAGAAAAAGAAGTGTCAGGCTGTCTCTGTTGAAGTCCGCAAATCCCAACACAAGTATGTGATCGGACAGAAGAGAGCTAATATCCAGGAAATTCTTGAAATGACTGGAGTTTCTGTGGAGGTACCAAGCCTGGAAAGCACTTCAGGAACAATCACATTGCGTGGCGAGGAGGACAAGCTTGGCCCAGCTCTTACAATGGTGTATTCTAAAGTAGGCTTTAAAAAAATGCATCTCTTTTCTGCCATTTTATTTCCTAATTTTTTTTTTTTTTTTTGGTTGACAATTACAAATTTATTTAAATTTTCAAAGTAGCCATTTTATTTTGATCATTCAGTTAGGGATTAAGCTCATTTTATTTGACCGATATCTTTGTATGATTATAAACATTAAAAGTACTTTTGATTGTAAGCAGAAGTAAATTTGTGGTAAGCTTCCTTATATGAATGATTGCATTTTCATGTATTAATGGAAATTCTAGCTACTACATTTATTTTTAAAAATATTTTTACTCTTGTATATTAAAAATGGTTTCTAAGAAATAAGATATGTGGACTCATAATCCTTTTGATGCTTTAAGATAGTTTGTGAAAAGATTGAGAAATTTTTCTTTTTATACACAAATATGGATGTAAGTAATCAAACCATTTTAAACGTTAAAAATTATATACACACAAGGTACATCTTACTTTTATTATATAATGAAAATGATTTACAAAAAAAGCATGGTTTTTATACTGCTACATTTATCTGGATGTTAAGACATATAATGAAACCCTTTTATCAAATTTGAATTTACTTAAATTATATTGTATATATAAAGTGTGTGTGTGTGTGTGTGTATGTATGTAATCTCCTTGACTTACACAGAATTCCATTCCTATGATGTCTCGTAATGTGATTTTCCATGAATAAGCAATTACATCACTCACCTATGCTAATGCAATAGTAAAGTAATAATCTAGGACATAACATATTTCTATGACCTAAGTTAATATAATTAGGAGTAAAAAATAAATCCACATGTAGGATGTATTCTTCCACTGCTTATTTTGTTATGGCTAATATTACCATTACAATCTGTGTCCATAATGAAGCCTTATTCACATGGCATCCTAATTGTTGAATAGAATTGTGTTGATACACATTGACTTTTGTTGGGAAGGATCAAAGCTTTTGTCAACACAGCCAGATATGGATGGAATTGGAAAACTTTAGTTAAAATTGAAGAAAATACCAATTTTTTTTTTTTTTTTTTTCTCAGCAAAAATTAAAATTGAAAATATTTTTTTATTTGAATTAAAATTGGTAAAATAGATTTTAGAAAAAAAAATCTGTCTGATACTTGATTTTGTTTCATCTTAAAACCTTTTTTTTTTTTTTTTTTTTTTTTTTTTTTTTTTAAGGCAAACAGTGTTATTGTGGAGGAAGTGACTGTTCCTGCTTGGCTTCATCGTTTCATTATTGGTCGTCAAGGTGCCAGTGTGAAGAAGATCACACAGAACACACCCAAAGTAAGAGTGAAAATAGAAAAAAAAATCATTTTTTCAGTAAAATGAATGTTAGAAGAAATCTAACATGGAACTTATTCTTCTTTGTCTTTGAGGATATATTAGGATCAGAAGTTATAAACTATTTCTCTCTTATTCACTCATTTTACTTGTATAATTGAATGATACTTAAAGGCATTTTGCTAATCTTTTTAGTTCATAGAGAAAAATGGATTTCTTTTAAATGAAACCCTAGTACATTAACTGTAAAGAAATCTAAATACCAGAGACCCCATATAGTTGTCAGTGTATTAATCCTGTTTATATTTATTTTCATTTTTATTCCTTCTAATAGAGTATTTGCTCATAACAATCATATTGCCATAGAAACTTTATAACTTAGCATTATCCTTATATTAAAATAGATTAAGCATGGTCCAAATCCATCTTGTATAAGACAATAATGCTTAATTGATAAGAATTATATTTACTTGTTTGCAATTAGGTCCACATTGAATTCACTGATGGGCAAGACATGATCGTCATTGAAGGTCCTCCAGAAGAAGTTGAAGAGTGTGTCAGCAACTTAACTGAGTTTGTTACTGATCTGGTAAACTTTTATTTTTTTATTTTTAATTATTTTAATCTTAACTAAGAATTGAATTTGTATCTATTAGGTTGAGTTGTAAATAATTTGTTTTTGTTTATCAACATTATTATTTTTGGAAAATGAAGTTCAATTGCATTTTATTCATTTATATGTATTCACCATTATTTGCAATGATTTTTTTTCCATTTATCAGGCAGCTTTTCAATACCTTTTGAGTAAACTTCCACAGGTTTTGACGTGAAAAGTTTTTTTCAACAAACTTTTGAATCTGCTTTTCATTAGAGAAAGCATCCCCCCCCCCCCCAAATGGGTGGTGTAATAATCAGTTGGTGTAATGTCAGCTAAATATGATGGGTGTGGGTAAAAAAGACCAAAGATTTTTCTGTTATTCTTGTTGAATGTAGCCTTTTGTTTTCGTGGAAGAAAACATTTTTTTTTTTTTTTTTTTTTTTTTTACAAGTTCAAGGCACTTTTTGAACAAACTTTTATGGGCATGTTGCAACTGCTGGACATATAAATGTACATTTAGTGTTTCATTGCATTTAAGAACTCTAGATGAATAACACCTTGACGATCCCGACATTCACAAAATTACCTTTTTCATGGAGCTCTGTTTTTGTGGTCAGTTGTGAAGAGTTATCCTTGCCAATCCATTTCCTTGTACATTGAACAATGTTGTATGTAATCCAATTTTCATCTGTTATGTATTTAAGGAATGGTTAGTTATGTGTTCATTACAATTGGTTACCAAAAAAGGAAATTACATATGACTTGGATTGAAAGTTCATTTGTTACTTCATTAAATTAAATGTCACAAATTTACTAAATATGAAATTTACATTTTTGTTTATGAAGTTATAGATTTTCATTTACTGTATCTTATTTGTTTGCTCTACATACAAGTATATTTTAATTTTCCTCTTCTTAGGGTTTCTCTTCAGTTGAATTTCTATAAACTAGTTTTAAAGTTTCCAGATAAAGTATTATCATTGTTCCACAAATTATCTGAACATGTCTGTTTTTGTTCTTTCTCTTTCATTGTGTTCAAATAGACTGTTTTCAAAACTATTTAAAAAAAAAAAAAAAAAACCATAGACAATTGAAAAATATTTCCCAAAACAAAAGATGACGATCATATTCTGTATAATTCATGGAATAATTACACACACACACACACACACACATTCTAGAAATTTCCTGCTCACTCTATTGTGCACAATTAAAAAAGTACATTGGTCATATGTTGATACATTGTCATACTTTGAAATGTTTTTCTTTTTACAGGAAAAACGGATGGCATTTGCTGAAATTGAGGTGGACCAACGTTTTCACAAACATATCATTGGCAAGAATGGCGCTAACAGTAAGTTTCCTCTGATTAAGTTGTAAGCAGTACAATTTATGTTAGTAATACTGATTACTGAAATAGAAAATGGGGAAATTAAATTTGCATATACCCATCTAGATGATGATTATAATATTTTGTGAAAGGTGCTATTTGTTTGTGGTTGTATGACTTGATGGAAAACACCCATAATGCAAGATCTTTGGTTGAAAATGGTGGTGAGGGGGAACATGTGGAAGGAATGATGATGCTGCTGCTACAGCCATGTTATTTTAATTAGACAATCATAAATTACTGAAAAATGACCTAGTAAATGTAATAAACAAAGCCTTTCAGCTGTTGGCTTTTAAAAAGTTAACAATTTTGTAGCTACAATTTTTCATATTTAAAAATGTTTGGAACTATCAAGACTTAAACATGTATAAAAGAAAATACTTAAAAATAAGATTTTACTTTTTAATAACTGGAAAACATTAAAAAGTGTACTTTTATTTAACTTCAACATTATTATTCTTACTTTTAAGTTTCTCGAATTAAAAGTGAAACTGGCGTCGCCATTCAAATTCCATCTGACAGTGTCAACAACAATGTGATTAGGATTGAAGGTGATCCGAACGGTGTGCAAAAAGCTAAGCAGGAACTCTTGGAGATGGCTCAAAGAATGGTAAGTTGCCTAAAACCCTTCCTTGTTCCAATTTCATAACCTGAAATTGGTTAAAGTCAAGTTGAGGAACAAAAAATTCATAACACTAAATTTTTACAATTTATACAATGTTATTTTTTTTTTTTTTTTTTTTTTTTTAAATGCTATAAAATATGAATTTTATGATTTTGCAGTAAATTTTTGAATTTAATTGAATATATTAAGTACAGATGATAAATTTCATAGTTGCAATATTGTTAAATATGCCTTCACATTACAATGTTTCTATTTAGCAAGTTGCTAACATGTACAGATTTTTTTTTTTTCATAAGCAATAAATTGTTTTGCTTGCTAAGGTAACACTTGGATGTTTGCAATAATGTTTAGCAGTTATTTATTGGATCCTGATGATTTTTTTTTTTTTTTTTGTGATTTAGAAATAAGTGCATTGACAAGGAAGGTGATTGTTGAAAAATAAGTATCTAAATAAATGCTTGAACTTTCGGAAGCAGGTTTATATACCTACATATATTTCATGACATTGAGAAAATAATGAATGCTAACACCTAATTTGGAACCGCTGACCTATGTTAAAATAATTTTCTATACAGAAATACATATTTTTTTCTATTCTTCCTTCATTCCATCCATATGCTAAAATGTATTGCGATATTCTTATTGTATGCATTTCTTATTTTTTATTTTAGGAGAATGAAAAAAGCCGAGATATAGTCATTGAACAGCGATTCCACAAGACTATTATCGGTGCTCGTGGTGAGAAGATTAGAGAGATCAGAGATATGTTTAATCAGGTGCAGATTACATTCCCTGATGCTGGAAAGAAGAGTGATGTGGTTACCCTTCGTGGGCCCAAGAATGATGTAGATAAGGCTTATAAGCACTTGAGCCAATACCATCAAGAACTGGTGAGTTGAGTTTGAAGCGTTTGCAGATATTAGATATGTGGATGCATTATTTCTTTCTTTGTTAAATAGCTTACTTGTTTTAAAAAGTATAATAATTTGCATATAATAATGCTTAAACTGCTGTAAAATTTTAGAAGTGTCAATGAGATGTGCTTTCTGAGGGGAAAAAAAATCAATCTTGGCACTGAGTACTCCATTATAATTTATAATTATAAAAGTAGAATTCTATCACTTTTAATTTTATTCTAATCTTGATGAATATATGTTTGTTTTAATTGGTTAATTTTTGTAACTTAGTTTAGTTTGAAAACTTGATAAAAATAGATTTTCTATTTGCCTTTTTAAGGGAATCAAATTTTTTTCATTATTCTCCCACAGAATAAAAACCTTTCATCCCTTTTGTTGGGTGATACTTTTACTTACCAGTGCTTACTTTTTTTTATCTTTTTTCTTTTCAGGTGACAAACAACTTCCAGTCTCAAGTACAGATTTTTAAAGAATTCCATAAAAACATCATTGGAAAAGGTGGAGCCACCATTAGGAAGGTGAGTTTTTATTACATTTTTATATTCATATAGATACATTTGCCATTTTCTTCACTCTGCCTGTACTTTATTTGCATAGTCTCAAATGTTACTTTTAGATGTTACATGAATCCCCCCCCTCCATTAATACCTGATAAGCAGGCCAACCACTGCACTACAATGGTTGTTCCTATTTGAAATTAGCTTGTTTATAAAGCATTCTTTTTTATGCAAGTATAAGTGAAGGCATAAAAAGAATACAACTCAGTTTAGCAATGAGTGGTTTTATATTTTTTTTACAAAGCATATATAAAATGCTTTTGTGTTCGTCTTATTTTTCCTCCATTTCAGTATTTTTTCCATTTTATATATGGGAGGATATGATATATAAATGTCTATATCAGGACAATGTTTGTCAATTGAATGGCAATGTCGAAAATCCTATGTAATGAAGTTCTAGGTGATGAAGCCTGTTACACAGAATTTTTCCACTTTGTCATTCAATTGACAAATATATTACAAAGAACTAATACTATATATGATTTTATATTCCCCTTAAAGAATTGGATTTCTTATTAAAACATTCATGAATAATTATATTAGACATGCCATTACATGCTTATGAAGACTTTCATTACATCTCTCAGACCATAGCTCAATTAGGGCCTATTTAAACATACATAGAAAGCTGCCAAACTCTGTCTGCAACATAATTGTGGAAAATACAGCCATAATAGCCTCATTCACATATTTAAAAAAAATAAAAAAAACAGCCTAAAATTATGGAAGCATTAATAATAATAAATAAAAAAAATGCCAACACTCAATATCTGATATGAACACAGCCACAACATGCTGATCATGTTTGAAAAAAAAAAAAAAAAAACATTGCCATCACTATAGATATACATATAAAAATCTACAATTGATTGATAATAGATTTATATAGACCATTTACAGTTTTCACACACTTTGTCCAGAAAAGAAAATAGTCGTCTGATTAGAAGAAAAATTGAATAAAATGGTTACTTGCAGTATGTTGCCAATCATCTTTAATGAAATTATTTTTGTGTGTATGTGAATATATATTTTAGAAAATGGATTAAATCCGACATTTTTAACTTATTTTGTTTAAATGTTATTTTTGATGGATACTCATATTTTTTAATTAAACAGTATTTTTTATTCAACATACATCTGGCAGCCTGAAATCTTGTCAGAAAAATGTTTCATCTGGCAGGATTCAAACCTGCATCCCCTCTGGGTAACTGTCATTGAATCTGCCATGTTTAATTGCTCAGACACATAGGACTTACAGTCAAACAAAGTTCAAATAGTGCTTATGAACACATACTCTCTGCTGATTCTTGAAACCTCTATATTTGCTGTTTTGGATTTTATTTTAGGAAATGGATTAAATTCAACATTTTTATTTTGAATTTATTTTGTTTAAATATATTTTCTGTCAAGATTTCTCGAATACTCAGGCTGGTAGATGTAGTTGGATAATAATAATAAAAAAAAACAAAAAAACTGTTTAATTGAAAGAGCTTCTACTCAAATGAGTATCCATCAAAAATAATGTTTAAACATATATCCCCCCCCCAAGTATATGCTTGGTGTGTGTACACATATATTTGTAGGTAGTTATTTTCTTTCACCTAATGTACAATTAGGTGTATATGTGTGTTTGGAATTTTCGTTTTTTATATATTAGATGGTGTTATTTTTATATGTATATCTATTTTAATGTCCTTTCTTTACCTATTGTTTGTTTCTCTGTTCTATTAGACTATTTCTATCTTTGTATATTGGCCCGTATAAGATATTTTAATGTGGTTAGAATTCGTTTAATAACATCTTCAATCTTGAATATATTTTGAGTGTTATATCAGTGTCTATGTCAATGTATTTGGGTATATGTACTTATCTTTTTCGGTGTCTGTATAGTAAATTGCATGCACATTTCATTGTGTATGTGTGTGGCTCGTCACTTTTTTGTGTGTGTATATATCTAAATATGTCTGCATGCTTATGTATTATAATCTATCTGATTGTGTTTGTATTGTCTTTTGCAAAATGTCATAATCCCATGTCTACACCTGTATCCATGTTGTCGTTAAGTTAAGGGCAGGTGATCTTCATGTTTATTCCAACGTAATTTCAATAGAAACAAAATGAATAGAATAACATTATTTTCTTTTTTTCCTCAATAATTTTAAAATTTTAAACTTAATATAGATTAAATTTACATTTATGAAATGGGTAGTTTTTAATTTTAATTTCAAATTTTATCGTACAATTTAATACTTATTAGTTAGAATAAATTCTATTTTAGTATAAATCCCGCTTTAAAGCATTTAATAGTTATTGTAACCTACCTTTAAATTTTTGAATTCTTGTATACTTGTATTTTGATTGGTCATTTCAGCTCATGTAAAAGCGTTTCTCCTTATGAGGGGTGGTTAATTAATTTGAACCTTTTAAAACCTTTACTACAATCTACACTCAACATCACCACTTGATGAGACACCAGAGGTGTTGAAACAAAATGGCTATTTTTGTAGTGATTTTATAACATTTATGTTATTATTTTTAAATAAATTTTATATATATATATCTCTGAAGATTGTGTTGATCTGTGTGCACTTTTATATTTACATACTCTCTGATATGAGCACTTTTACCCACAAATATAGCACACCTTAAAATTATATTATATATACAGGGTGCCCTCCCCCAAAATGGGAAATTTTAGATTTACTATATAATGAAAAAAAAAAAAATTAACTAATATGTATAAAAAAAAAAAACTTAAAATTTGAACACCACATCTAACATTTGTGTTTTTGTTCTGTTTTAAGCTATTAAATTTTTGTTTGCTTTAGTTTCAAATAACTCTAACAAAAAAATCCAACAATAAAATAAACTGTACCAAATTATATATAATGTGTGTGTGTGTGTGCACATGCACAATGGTGTAATGAACAAAAAATCAAAGCTGAGTTTGAATTTCAATTACTAGAGCTGGTCAGTTTGGCAATTTATTTTTCAGTATCAGTTTTTTTTTATTTTTTTATTTCATTTTTAGAATGTGTATATTTCCAAATCTGCGAGTATCACCTGTTCTTTTTTACACATTTTAAAACTGAAATTAAAAACTATTTTAATCATTTTCTTAAGTGTATTCACTTGATAAAAACAAAGATTTGTAAAAATAAATTTAATTAATTTTCCTTGTTTAGAAGAATTTTATAGACCGAACACTAGTGGCTAAAAAAGAATAATTTTTACTTTGGGTTAAAAAAAAAAAAAAATGACTTGCAGTTTTGAAAATATACACATTTTAAAACTGAGATTAAAACATTTTTTTTTTTTTTTTTTTTTTATCTAATTTTAAGTGTATTCACAAGATAGAAACAATTTTATTTGTAGAAAACAATTTTACACTAGAGACTTACGCATTTTAAAAGTGACATTAAGAATTATTTTAATTATTAATATCTAATTTAGGTGTATTCTCTAGATAAAAAATACATTTGTTTTATATAAAAAAAAAATCTTCATTTCTCTTATAACAACTTTATTTTGTGATTGGCATACTGGCTTACTAGAAAACAATTACAAAAAAATCTGACTTCATAAAATGTGACATTAAGACGAAACTGGCAACTATTTTATTTTTACTTGCTATTTTGTTAATTTTACCACAAACAGTTAAAAAAAAAAAACAAAAAAACAAATAGATTTCAGACATGTCTGATTTTTCCTTTTTCTATTTGAAAACATTCTATGATTTCCAAATTTTTTTCTTTTGTAAACAGATTTTACATTTATTTCCTAAAACTAGTCAATTTTTCTTCAATCTTTTTCTCTTACAATGCTATAGATGTTAATAAAATTAAATTTTATTAACCTCTGAAAGTCATTTTCAATAGTGCTTCTTTGGATATGGTCACTTGGTAATGATAGCACTAAATTGAACGGTTTTGTAAAAAATTGATGCAGTTTCATGGTATGAAACTGAAAAGATTTTTTTTTTTTTTTTTTTCGGTTAAACCGCCCATCTCTTATTATATTCACTTATGTGCAAATAACCTTGGGAAAGGTATGAATCCACCTTTTCTCTCAGCAAGACACTGTTAAAAATTAATACATTTTAGCATATGCATATTAAACTAAGTCAGTTATGGAAAGAAGAATAGAAAAGAAAAAATGTATGGTTAGTAATCAGTTTAGGAGAAGGAAATCTCTGAATTCAAACCAGCCTAGAGAGGGTTGAGCTCAATCCAGCTATCTTGCCAGTGACTCACCATTGCTGTAGTACATGTGGTGCCCCCTATGATCCTAATGGGTTATGGGACTTGTGATTCTGTGTACACACACAAGAACTTTATATTTCCAAACAAAATCTGTGTGTGTGTATATATATATGTATATATATATATATATATATATATATATATATATATATAATGTTAAGCATAAATGTTAGCATCATGTATCACTAAACAGTTTCCTCTCCCCATTATTTGAATTACTGTTCCTCTACTGAATTTTTCATTTGGTATCTGTTTATAACTTAATATTAAATTCTCTTTTCAGATTCGCGATGAAACTGACACCCGTATTGACTTGCCCAGTGAGAACAGCGACTCTGATATGATTATTATCACAGGCAAGAAAGCCAATGTAGAATTAGCCAAGCAGAAAATTGAAGCTATTCAAAAAGAATTGGTGTGTAATGATTTGTCAGTCTTTGTCTTCAAAGAACTTATTACCAAAACCATCAAATAATTTTCCTCATTTGAGTTTTCATATTCAAATTTTACTTTTAGACTGAATATTTTAAAAAAAATTTGATAAGTTCACTGTTTATCAAGCTTAAAACAAAATTTCATATTTAATTTTTTATATTCAAATTTTACTGTTATCTCAATATAGTCCTACATTTGAATATTTTAAAGACTTAAACATTTGATAGGCTCCCTGTTTGTCAAGCTAAGAACAAATTACTGAAAAAGTATGACTTGCAGCACGATGTCAGATATTAGGAACGTGTAATGAAAATATTTTGTGGAATATGATAGTTTATAAAGATTAATTCATAAATTTTTAATTGGATTGTTTTTAGATTAAATCATAATCAAACCATTTATTTACATGTTATTCCATTTGCTGTTTAATTTCAGTAGATTGGCAAGATTTCAAAAAAATTTTTTTTTTTTTTTTGTTCAGGCTAACATCAAAGAAATCACTGTGGAAATTCCTTCCAAGTTCCACAATTCCATCATAGGTGCCAAAGGTCGTCTGATCCGTGCCATCCTTGAAGAATGTTCTGGCGTTTTGATCCGTTTCCCTCCCGAGGGAAGCTCTTCTGATAAAGTTGTCATCCGTGGCCCAATTGAAGATGCTGAAAATGCTCGCAGACAACTGCAGGAATTAACTAGTGAAAAAGTGAGTAACAATTTGTCAAATCAGTTTTTATTAGTGGGTAAAGAAATGGATGGTAAACAGAAAATAATCCTTCATTAAATCTATTAAATATAGAAAAATTAACTGGTATATTTTAAGAGCAATTTTCATGTTATAACAGATATTAATAAAATGGGCTCAAAATTTAGTCTAAACAGTGAATCACTAAAAATGTAGTTATTGTATAACTATTTTTTTTCGGTCACTTTTTTCTTTATTATGTAAAATATTGCATGGGCGATCTCTGCAGTTGATTCCAACTGCATCTGTCATATGCAAAGTTCTCCAGTTGAAGAGGTGCTGGATTTGTAATGACAAGTTTCAAATTTATATTTGCAAGATCTACTTTAATTGTTCTTAGTCATGAAATTTCTGAACTGCCCCTTTTCATGTATGGTTTAAAGAATTGTCTTGAGACTTTTTTCATTGGTGTTACTTTAGGCAGTCACTAATATTGCATGTCTTAAGAAGGTTACTCTTCAATCACTTGACTTGGCTTTTAACAAAACCAAAAATGAACATTATATAAAATAAATGAGTTGTATATGCGTGAGTTTTTTTCTTTTTTTTTTTAATTATAAAGTAGACAATAAATGAAACTCTTTCACTTTGAAACTTTGTAATCTTTTTTTTTTCTCCTTTCTTTAGCAAATGTCAAGTTACACTGCAGACATTAAGGCCAAACCAGAATATCACAAGTTCCTTATTGGTCGTGGAGGAACTAACATTAAAAAGGTGACATTTTACTGTAAATTATATTTTGTGTGTGTAAATTTTCTTTTAATTTTTGAAAATTAGGTCAGATAACAAATGTCAGAATATCTCGCTATAATTATTCTATGGTCTTTGTGATTAATGCTATACAACCAGCTCAAAGTACAGAGTCTTCTTTTTATTGTTATGGTGATGAAAAAAAAATGTATCATAGTTGCTATCTTGTTCTGAAGGAAAGAAAAAAAAATATTTTGCAATAAAATTTAATCTTTCTCAATTTTTCTTTTTAGTTAGTACATTTATGAAATGACTCTACTTAAACCAAATGAAACATTTAGTACTGAGAAGAAAGGATTCGAATTATTTTTCTTTAGCCTTTATCACTCTGTGTGTGACTTCATTTGCTCTGCAAAAAGTTTGTCCCGACACTAAAGATGACTCTGATCCTTTAAACCATTAGTGTTTCAGTTTCATAGATGTGTTGTCATATCCTGCTATGGCAACAGAAAACAACTTTGAATGAAATTAACAGTTAAGGCTACTGCAATTGAGAGGCCTTGAAAAAGAATGCAGTAGAAAGGGAAGTAATATTAGTAATGCAATGTGCTAAAGATTAATTAATGCACTTCAGCTTCAAGAAACTTATGAACATGCTATAATCAAAAGTTAGCAAAAAGAGGATCACGAGAGATTGACAAATGAAGATAGAAGAGATGCATATATTATTAACGATATTGTTTTGAAAGATGTTTTCTCCTAAAACTTCTTCAGTACTACCTAAGATTTCATGGTTCTACCCAAAATCTTAGTTTTTAAAATAACAGGAATGTCCAAGTACTGTGAATATAATTAATAGTACAAAACTAGAATGTTATTGAAGAAATATTTTCACTATTAATGGATAATTCTTTTCTTACAAAGATTTACTGTTATTTGTATTCATTTTTTTACTTTTTAATTTTGAAATATGGATAAGAAATTTGTGAGTGGCAGCTCTGTGCTAGTGACTAGATTGGTTTAATTTTGAATGCACTCTGTTCATTCTGATTTTCACCTATTTTGAAAATGAGATGAGATAACCTGTACTAACTTGGATAGCAGTAGGCTTTCAAATGTAAAATTATTGGCAACCTTACTTTATACATTTAAGACTCTATAGTACTTTCAAAAGTATATGCTTTACAAATAAGTTTTAATTTAGGATTAAAAACAAAACATTAAAGTTGTTTCCTGATGACTAATGTAGAACAAATTCAATTCCACATATAAATTTCAACTTTTTTTCTTTGTTGCTAGGTTCGTGAAAAAACTGGTGCACGTGTTATATTCCCAACTGATCAAGACCATGACCCCGAGCTCATTTCTATAATTGGAAGGAAAGAAGCCGTAGAACAGGCTAAAGTAGAACTGGAAGCATTAATTCAGAATTTGGTAAGTTTTTCTTCATAATTTTTCTCGAGCTTTTATTCAATATGCATAGATTTTATTTTATAAAGCTGCAACCTGTAAACATGTTAACTAGACCCTCTACTTTTTTCTTTCTTTCTTTCTCTTAGGATAATATTGTTGAGGGAGAAATCAGCGTTGATCCAAAACATCACAGATATTTTGTAGCTCGCCGTGGCGAGGTGCTGCGTCAGATTGCCGATGAATATGGTGGTGTGACAGTCAGCTTCCCTCGCAGTGGGGTTAAGAGTGACCGTGTAGTTATCAAGGGGGCCAAGGACTGTGTAGAAGGAGCCAAACGCAGGATCCTTGAAATCGTTGCTGATCTGGTAAGTGTATTCCAATGTTTTTTTTTTTTTTCCTCTCTCTTTAAAACAAAGATTGAAATGCCAAATGTTCTTTAACTATTTTGAGCTCTTGTTATCTTATTAAAGATGTTATAAAGTTTCTATCACAAATGTTTGATGCAAATATGCAAAGTGGTTATATTCAAGGACTTTTCATTGTTTCCATTCATAACTTAGAACACTACAATTACACTTATCATGCATTATAAAAACTTTATTAGAAATTCAATAATGTTTGGGGTCTTTTTTTTTTTTTTTTTTTTTTTTTGAAGGAATTCAAAATTTGAACATTATGGGGGGATAAATAGTCATTTTTCTTGAAAAATACTAGTGTTCTGTACACCAAAATGTGGAACTAATTGGTAAAAAATTAAATTTTTGGACTTGGCTTTGCAAAATTAAATGTAATTTTTTGACCCAGCATCCAAAATTCCAGAAAAATTGCACCAAAACATGCATGGGTCAGTGGAATCAAGATAAAAACAACAGTTTGAAATAATTAATGTATATTGACAATTCCTCATCTCAAAAGGAAAAACAAATGTAAAAACAGTTTTTTGTTAGTTGTAAATTTGAAACTTTTTTAAAATAAAAAAGTCAAGTTATTGAAGAAGATCAACATAAAACGTAATAAAAAGATCTGATGATCCCGTAGCCATATTGGCATATGTAGAAACAATAAGACTGATACATCAGTAAAGGAAGCCTTAGAAATACAAATTACAAATATGAACATCCTTTATACTGATGTATGGCCAACTGTAGACAAGTAGATAAAAAAGAAATGTGGCAAGAGTTATGGAACTTTTGGCCAAACATTAAGCTACACCAAATCCAATCCATCATTGGAGAACAACTGAATTGTGGATATACAGAAAGAGGAAGTGATGATGACCAGGCTCAACATAGGCCGTACATCTATAACTCACTCACATCAACTAAAAACTGAAAAATTACAAATGTGTATGACATACACTGTATGGCACATCTTGATAAAATGTGATGACCTGAAACTAACCTGACTCGGATATTATCAAGTAAATAGTTTAAAGTTATTATTCAACAAAATAAGATTTTCAAATTCTTACAAAAACTTAAATAATAACTCCAAGTACTTCTAAATGTGTGTACATACATATGTTTATATGCATCTGTCTATAAAATCAGAATCTTAAATGATATAACACTGTTTTTGAAGTTTCATTAAATGCCAAAAGCCAAACCATAAAATAAACAAACTTTAAAGTATAGATATTAGAATTGGCTTTCAATTTTGTAATTGTTGAATTTAAATTGTTTCCAATATAAAACTAAATTTACTGTTCTGCAGATTTCAGAACAGGCTTCCATTTTAAAATGGCAAGTTAACCTGATGTCATTTGAACCATAGTTTTTCTTTTACTTTTTCTTTAAGTGAAAATAAGGAAAAGTCCTTTATGACATGATTTCCGGTGCTAGGATTATTTTAAGTTTGTATTTATCTGATTATGAACAAAAGTTGGAAATTATTCAAATCTAATCTCCCTTGTGTAATTGCATTGAGGTGAAAGTTCACATCACACTTAAAATGCCTGAAAATAATTGTTTACATGCTTTTTAGTTATTCATATCATTTGTACAAAAATTAATATTAGAATCAATTGTGTAGAATAGTCACATATAGTTGAATGTTTGTATTTTATGTAGATCTTTGTTAGCTATTGTAGAAAGTACTTTTTTATCAGGGTTGATAAAACCTAATAAAAAGGTCAATTTCCACTTGCGTGTGTGTTATGTTTATTCATTGCTGTTTTTATTACCACAACCTTCTATCCAATCCATTTTCAAGCTTTTGTTAGATGTAGACTTTGTATTAATGAAAAAGGTGGGACCTCTTCTTCCAGAAGAGGTTGACTGGCTCCATTCAATCTTGTCAGTGAAGCATATTTTCTTTGGCTTTCAATTAATATTTGATTGATCAAAGTACATCACAAAATACACAATGTTTAATTGAAGCTTTATAATAACCCAAAACAAAACTTGTTTTCTCGTTTACAGGATGCTCAGGTCGTGGTAGAATGTGTGATCAGCCAGAGGTACCATCGTACTGTAATGGGAGCTAGAGGACAGAAAGTGCAAGAGATCACACGACTCCATGATGTGGCAATCAAATTTCCTGACCGCCCTGTTAACGGAGGTTAAAGACTTTTATTTATTTTTCTGATGTTATTTACATTATTTATGTTGACTGTTGTCCTCATCTTTTTCACATTTTGGTTATTTGCTCTATGGCTTTCATAATGTGGATGTGCAGATAGTATAATGGATAGTGGCTCCAAATGAGAAATCAAGAGTAGTTTAATTCCAGTTGGGTTTGTTACAATCACTTATGTACAAATATCCTTGGGGAAAGGTATGGATCCATCTACCTAAAGCTATGACTTAAATAGTTGTATCCAGAAAAAAATCATTATTCTCAAAAATGCAGAATTTACTCCTTTTTAAAAAAAAAAAAAATATATATATATATATATATATATATATATATGACAATAGGAAAACTGTAGTAGTTGCCAACGCGTTTTGTCCAATGTGGACTTTCTCAAGGCAAAAAATGAAATGAATTTATTTAAACCAAAAGGTCTCCACATGTGACAGTATTTGACAATTTTCAGTTAACAGTATAAAAATAGCGTTCTCTAAATTCTTCCAGTTGCTAAGGACATTTTGTTTTTATTAGTTACTGTAAGTAAATTCATTTCGTTTTTTGCCTTGAGAAAGTTAACATTAGACAAAATGCATCGGCAACTACTACAGTTTTCCTATTGTAATTTATAAATATTGTCTTTTCTACAGGTTAACTCTGAGAAATTTTTATATATATATATATATATATATATAAATATAAAATATATATATATATATATATAAAAACAAAATATTCTTACGAACCAAAATGTTTTGGCTTTTAATTAATATACAAAAGGGTCGATAATTTGTAAAAAGGAAAAACAAATCAATCAGGTGCTTGCTGATCCGGATAACCTTCAGAGAATTTTGAACTAAACCCCTTAATCTACAGTGAGTAGATTGTCTTATTCTGTTGACCATATCTAGGGATATTTCGTGTAGTTCTTATTTAGAATTGCTCAATTATTGCTCATCCCACTTCCACATAGTCCAAGTACATACTGCCTAGCTCAGGGATTGAACTCATTCTGTCAGCAAATTCAAAAACCAATGCTTTATCCACTATTACCCATAGAACATAACAACAAAGATGACTAGTCTACATGTAAATAACTCCTCCACTCAGAAATTGACAGAAATAATTCTGAAGTATTTACTAGCCAAACTTCTGGCAGTTGCATGGTGACTTAGAAAATACTAATAAAGGCTTACTGCACATAGTAATTTTAAGTGGCTGCATTTTCTCAGCCTTATCTTTTGATATTGAGGAAGAGTTTTTAGAAGAGAACTGGAAAGTAACTATACTACGCTTTGTATTTCATACAGTTTTAATCAGCTGTTTGATTCAATATTTAGTATGTCACAAATTGGCTACATTAGTCTCAATTAGTCAGTTTGTCTGGTCACTATGCAAAACAAATTGATGTACGAGTTAATGGTTGGTTAATAAAATACGGCTTTTTGTTCTATTTGTAGCTACTTTGTTACTGTTTCTTTATACTTTGATTATGCATGGAGCATTTCGGAAATCCTATTTTAATGATGTTTCTGTCGTTTTGATTTTTGTGCAGAGCGTTCATCACAGCCTCCCACTGAGGAAACAGATTCCTCCACTGCTGCTGCCATTCCCAATGGAGATGTCAGTCCCGAGTCAGAAACTCCTGCTGACATTAATAAATCTGATATCATCCTCATTACTGGAAAACCTCATAACTGTGAAGAGGCAAAGAAAGCTTTATTGGTAAGTTTATTCTTTTAAATTCCCTTTTCCATTTCTATCTGAAAATTTTACTTTTCTGACATGTTTTTAATTTGGCTAACATATAAAGATTTCTCAGAATATACACTATTTACATTATTTGGACTATTGTCCTCATCTTTGTCGCCATATGTTTTGGCCGTTGTATGCTCTGGCCTTCTTCAAGTGGTTGGAATGTCAAACTGAACCCTTTATTTCGCTCACTGAGGTAGACTGTTCTAGTTCCACGTGCCATGTCTAATGGACGTCAGTTATCTCCTGTTAATTCCCCTCTCAAAGTTCTCCACTGCCTTAACCAGGTATTGAACTCACACTCTTTTGGGTCCTTTCACTGGATCTAACTAACTCCTTTATCTACTGTGCCATGTGTCCTCAAAGAACAGACAGATTAGTGATTTCCCAAGAGTATCGCTGCTAACACCTTCATCCACTGTGCCATGTGTCCTCGAGGACACATGGCACAGTGGATAAAGGCGTTAGTTAGATTCAGTGACAGAGCCTAAAGTGAGTTCAGCACCTGTTTAAGGCGGTGGAGAACTTGGAGAGGGAATTAAGCAGGAGATAACTGATAACTGACATCCATTAGACATGGCACGTGGAATTAGAACAGTCTATCCCCAGTAAGCAAAATAAAGGGTTCAGTTCAACATTCCAACCACCTGAAGAAGGCCAGAGCATACAACAGCCGAAACGCTGTAATATGGTGACAAAAATGAAGACATTAGTCTGAATAATGTACATAATGCCTCTTCTCAGAAATATAGACAGATTCTTAGAATATATTTGAAATTAATCATACCAGTAAATGCTAGACTATAAGCAATTTGCTAACAAAATATTTATTGCAGCTAACAATTGTTATTCATTAAGAACTACTTTCCAATTTTTATAAACTATTTTGTCTTTTTTTAGGCATTTTAAATGTTGTGTCCTGGGAATTAATAAGTTTTTTTTTTTTTTTTTTTTTTTTTATTGCAGGCCCTTGTTCCTATCACTGAGGAAGTGGAAGTACCATTTGAATTCCACCGTTTTATTATTGGCCAGAAAGGAAAAGATGTCCGTAAGATGATGGAAGATCATGAGGTGAGCATCACAGTGCCACCTCCAGAGGAGAAGAGCAACATCATTTCAGTGACTGGCCCACCTTCCAATGTGCAAGGAGCTAAGGCGGCTCTTGAAGAGAGATGCGTAATATTGGAGAATGAAAAGCAAGATAAGGTGAGTTTTATAAACTTAGCAGAAAAGGCCACTGGGTCAACTTTTCTGCAAGTGTCTTTACTCCAACTTTTATATTTGTCAGAAATATAGGCAATAGCAGTATATTCTCTACATCTTTGTTTTTTTTCCTGTTAGCCTTTTTTTGTACAGACATCTACAATATAACCAGCAATCATAATTTCTCCTGTTCAAAATATGGCAGTAGAGATCTACAATATAACCAGCAATCATAATTTCTCCTGTTCAAAATATGGCAGTAGAGATCTACAATATAACCAGCAATCATAATTTCTCCTGTTCAAAATATGGCAGTAGAGATCTACAATATAACCAGCAATCATAATTTCTCCTGTTCAAAATATGGCAGTAGAGATCTACAATATAACCAGCAATCATAATTTCTCCTGCAATCATAATTTCTCCTGTTTCAAAATATGGCAAAGTAGAGAGAGATACAATATAACCATTTCTCCTGCAATCATAATTTCTCCTGTTCAAAATATGGCAGTAGAGCAATCTACAATACAATATAACCAGCAATCATAATTTCTGTTCCTGTTCAAAATATGTTCAAAATATGGCAGTAGAGATCTACAATATAACCAGCAATCATAATTTCTCCTGTTCAAAATATGGCAGTAGAGATGGATATCAAAGAACGGTTACATCAATGTTTTTTTCTAATTTCCTAATCTTGCTAAATATTTGATCTCCCCCCCCCCATACTTTAGAAATACTCCTTTCCAAATCAGTAATAAACCTTTCACAATGATGTTTTAAAGCTTCCACTGCTGTGGACATGCTTATAGCTTTGTGAATCTTACATTGGCTAGTGTGTGTGTGTAATATATATATATATATATATATTTCTGAGATGAGGTATTATATACATTATTTGGGCTATTGTCCTCATTTTTGTCGCCATATTTATTACGTTTTGGCCGTTGTATGCTCTGGCCTTCTTCAGGAGGTTGGAATGTCTAACTGAACCCTTTATATTGCTCACTGGAATAGACTGTTCTAATTCCATGTGCCATGTTTAATGGATGTCAATGGAAGGCCGGAGCATACAACGGCCTAAACGTAATAAATATGGCGACAATAATCCGAATAATCTAAATAATACCTGATCTCAGAAATATATATATATATATATATATATATATATATATAAAAATATTCAAGGCATTGTGAAATATTAGTCCCTAGTGTTTATAAACCAACTAGCACTTAGTGTGACTTCCAAACTAGCATAACATATAGTCAGTTACATGCTTAGGCGATCATGTATCTTGCGATACATGACTGACGAGGCAGATTTTTTCCTGCAGTAGGTTGCGATTTCTTTCTGCGGTAGACCAATTGCCATCCAAGGCTATAGACCCTGGTCAGTCCTGCTATTTACCCATAGCTGTGGGGAGAAGAGGATTCATACCTTTCCCCAAGGGTTTTAGCACATAAGTGAATGTAATGGATTCGACTGAAATTTGAACTCTGCTCTCCATTCCTTAATCTGAGCTGCTATCCATTACTCCACCATGTCTCCTTTATAGTAGTATACAATATGACGTGTTTTGCAATGTATTTTTGTATTTTGTGTTGTTTAGCTTGGTATCTAGAGTATCTAAGTCAAACCAAAATGGCGGTAGCCATAAGACACCCTTGGTCTCTTTTTAGTCCTTTATTTCTCATTAACAGCAATTTTCTATTGATTTCCAAAATGGACCAGCACAGCCAGGCAACAATTCTATAACAACATAGCAGTAAAAGTGTTCATTTAATATCAGTACCTGGTTTGTTTATATATATTCTCATGTATAGGTGTATTTCATTCAGTATTTGTTGAACAGTTTATAGCAAAATGAAAAATAGCTTACAAAATCAACTGATGTGGACTAAATTCTTCATTTGTTTATTCAATTCATAAAGTTAAAAATATAAATAGGAAAATAAAGAAATGGGCAGAAATGTTTTGTATTGCAATACAAAACTGATTTCAATCTCTTTGTACTTAAAACTGACAAAGATCAAAATAAAGGTTTTTTTTTTATTTTTTTTTTTATACATGTAATTAAAGGCTGAAGAATAATGTAAATTTGCATATAGTCGTAATTTCTATTTACTTAAAACTTTTAACCTTTTAGTTTTTCAACATGCCCAAATCTGGTCTGTAAATATTGGCTCTCAGTGTAACCCACCCTATGTATACTCTGCCATAATTGACATCTTCACAAATAATGCAGGAAATCACATAATGAAACTCTGGGAGCTGATATTTATAGGGTGGGATTGAGCTTCATAGTTTTAAATTAAAATGTTACTATTTATGTATAATTCTTTTCTTTATAGAAAGATGAATCTAATTTTTCAAATTATGAAAACGTCATTTTAACTTTTATATTTCCTCTTATAATAATTTGGCATTTAATAATTTGGAGATTCTTCTGTATAAACTTGAAGCAGGAAGGGAACATCCAGTGAAGATCCCCTTTTGTATTACATTAACAAAAATAATTAATAAAACCCTTTTGACTTTTTTTCTTTTTCTTTTCTTTCAGATCTTGCGTAGCTTCAAGCTGGAAATTGAGGTGGAACCGTCATACCACCCAAAGATTATTGGCAGGAAAGGTGCCGTTATTTCCAAAATTCGTGCTGACCATGATGTTAATATTCAGTTCCCAGAAAGAGGTGATGCTCAGAACATAATCACCATTACTGGTTATGAGCTGAATGCAAACAAAGCAAAAGAAGCGATCTTGAAGATTGTTGAAGAATTGGTAATTTTTTTTTTTTTTTTTTTTTTTTTTTTTTGTTACCTATATTGATGTATCATTAACTTAGCCAGATATTTTGATGGGAATCCTTAAGGATAAAGATTAAAACTTGAAATGATTATAAGCTAAAATGATTTTGAAGGATATTTAACAGTTTAGAAATTGAGTTATTTAATCACCAAATATCTGCGATTTTGCTCTTAAATAAAATGTCCTGCTCTACTTGCATGGGTTTTCTCATTATTAATGTTATCAGTCTTGAAACAAAATCTCTCTCTCTTCTAAAAGTCAGTTTATAAATAAGGTTTGATAAATTTAGTCTTATTTTTGCTTTCTATGAAAAAGCTAATCAGTTAAAAAAAAAAAAAAAAATCATGCTTTGTGCTGTGTCATCTGATTCTGTTATCAGTGTTTCAAGGTATTTTTAAGTTCAAAGTTGCTAAATGGTGATATGGCCAAGATTAGTTTTCATGTCTGAAAGAGTCCAATCAATTTCTTGTTGACACCATCACACATTTCTTCCTAAGAAAAATCCTCAGTTCATTCAGGAAAAGCATTTTGATGATTCTTAAGAGAACCCATTTGGGAAGTTTTTAATATTTTTGACTTAATTTTTTGATTTCCTTGAAAAATATTTTTAGTTTTGCAAGGTCTTGCCCTACCTTCAAGTATGTAAAACTGATATCTTTAAAGAGATTGTAAAAGTATTTTGGATGAAGTGACTTGGATGTGTGTGTCCCCATAATGTCATACTTTAGGCACTTACCGTAAAAAAAACCCCCCAAAAATGAAAAAAAAACCCCAACCAACTTGGTATTACTATGCTGAGATTTCAGGATTCACTAAACCTGTCATAGATTTGTGTATAAAGCATTCCTAAATTCAGCAGAAAAATATATTCAAATGGTATAAGATGTTAATACCTAATGTAAAATCTTAATGCTACTTGTAAGTTGATGTTAAATATAAATTTTTAGAAATTGTTTTCAAGATTTAATTTCTTCACAATTCATGTCAATATCAAATTTAAAGAATATGAATTGTAACAGACGAAGTAACTAAGGAAGGAACAAGCAGAATTTTAAAAAATCTATTGTCTTTATTAGGAACATTTGTGAATAGATATTCAATATCTGATGAGGAAAATGTTTTGTTTGGTTTGCAGAAAGTGATTTGTGGAATTATTTTATTTACATGGTGAGATTAATTTGTCTTGTTTTTCAAAATGGTTGTAAGAGGGAACCAGATTGATGAATTTTAACATTTACTTTATAGATAATAAGGTTGGATATTGCTTATTTTTTTTTTTTTTTTTAAATTTGAATGATCCTATCTTTTATTTTTAGTGATAAGTTTTTTGACATTGGATCTCGCATATTTTGTGTGGGTATTGGGAATAAACTACAATTTAGATGGGTAATCTTAATATTTTGTTGACTCTTCTAATATCATTATCTTTAATATTTAATCTATTAATATAATATTAATATATTAGCTCTGCATTAGTTACCATGGATTTCTGAAAATGTATAGTCCCCCACCCGCTGGTGTCTGCCTCTCATGACAACTGAGCTACACCATGTGTTATACACTCTCACTGAGTCAGAGTAGTGGGAGGGAGCAAAAGAAAGTAGTTGCCAACTAGGAATTACAAGTACTTTAAACGTTTTGGTATAACAAAAGACCCCATGTGACTAATGCAAGGTTAATATAATACTTAGCATGATTATGAGAAAACTGTTTAAAGGCATTTCCTAACTTTTGTGTTTTAGAATGATTGTCTGTTATGAAATAAAATTGCCAGATTAAGATGGTGGTTTTTTTTTTTTTTTTTTTTGACTGGGTACACAGTCTGTTTTATATTGGCTTAATGATCCCGGCAACTGAATATATATATATTTTTGTTTTTCCTCTTAATTATATAGGATAGCATGTCTGTCGTTGAAGTAAAAGTGGATCACAGAGTCCACCCACGTATCATTGGTTTAAAGGGCCGTATGGTGCGACGCCTTATGGAGGAATACAAAGTAGACATCAGGTTCCCTAGACCAGATACCGATGATCCCGATATAATAACCATCACTGGTGCTGAAGAAGACTGTTTGGATTGTCATGATTATCTCATGGCTATTGAAGAAGAATTTGTAAGTTAATTTTATTTTAAACTCAATACCATTTAACTGGTTAGAGATGGCTTTTGCACTCATCTGTCAAAATATCTTTTTTGACCAATAATCACTTTCATTGAGTTTAGAAAAACATACAAATGATGCATTTCCTTTTAATAGAACTTCTCAGATTTTGTGTTTATTAATGCATCCATGCAAATTCTATTTGGTTTGAAATTGCACATTTATTGTCAGAAAGTTAATATAATATATAAATAAATTTGTTCATAGTTTCGTAAATATTAAATAAATTTTTCTTGAGCATTCTGAATGCTTATCAATTGATACCATAAGCCATTAAGATAAAATGACCCTATTTCACTGAACTATTTTAACTTTTTTTTAAATATATTTTTCCTCCTCTTCCTCTATTTCAGTTGCAAGACGTCATTGACCAAGAATATTTGGAAAATCTGAAAGCCCCTCCTGCTCGTGCAGAAGTTAATGGAGCCCCCAAAGAGTCAAAGGGCTTCTTTGTCAAGGACGCCCCTTGGGATAAAGTACCAGATACAGCCAGCACAGAAGAGTTCCCTTCTTTTGGAACTGTGGTAACCCCAAAACCTTCACAGGCCTGGGGTCCGTTGAAACGTAAATAAAAACTTTGTTCCAACAAGATTCATTTAAGTCTGTTAAAGGCTTAAAAAAAAAAAAATCCTTAGCATTTTCTTTTGTTCTCTTTTTTGTTTCCTGCATTGAGGTTACTTAATTTCTAAACTTTTTCTATTCTTAAAATCTTTCTTTTCATATAGACTTTTATTTTTATTGTTATTATTATGCATGTGTCCAAGAATTAAACAGAATAAATGGACAAGTTGAACTAAAAGGACATTTTTAATTTTTTTTTTTTTTTAAATTTTTTTTAAATTTTTATTTTTTTAATTTTAATTTTTTTTTATATAAATTACTGTTTTGGAAGAAGTACTCAACACCAGTTGGTAGCATAGTCTTGTTTTCTGCATAGGATTTTCATTTGTCTGCAAGGGATCTACATTATTTTTGTGATAACTTGCTTTCATTTTAATTGCTTCCAGTAGAGGTTTTCTCTCCTTAAAATCCAGGGATATCTATTTGTTGATTCCTTAAAGTGCATTCTCCCCTTGACACTGTTCCACTGGTATTGACAGACTTGCTGACAAAAGCAAAAGAAAGAAAACAAAATCTTTTTTTTTATTTTTTAATTTTCTCTCTAGAGTTTCTTCTCAACTTTGCACCTGGTTTATAGACAAGTGGCTAAGGATAAAATGAAACCTACTGCAAAGTTTCTTTTGATATATGTTAAAAAAAAATGCAAATGGTTACATTAGTTTTACTCTACTACCTGTGTGCGGTGATTGGACAGGCTGGTTCAGTTCAGTTAATGTCCTCCTCTCTCTAATATCCCAGTCCTTCATTTTTCCCAATCTTTAAACTATCTGTTGCATGATAGTTTGAATTTTTAGACAGGCACTTTTCTTCTGTAACACTAAGAGAAAAAAAGTTAAGACAAATAATTTCAGCCAATCAAAATTGTCTGACAAGTCACTGCTGTCTTTTTTGTAGTGAGGCTTTTTTTTTTTTTTATATATATATATATATATATATATATATATATATATATATATATATATATATATATATATATATATATATTAACTCACTTCTAGTATTTTCCGCCCTTCTAAGCAACCACTTTCAAATATTCTCTTATATTTCCAGCACCAAAACACTCTACATTTGTAGCCCTTAAATGTGAAATTCAAGTTTACTGTTTCAAATTATAAGGCAGTTGAATCATGAATTGAAATGAGCCCTCCAAATGGGAAGAAAAGTAGGTATTTTTCTTTTCCACTGCTGGAAATGAAATCCTTTATTAGCTATTAACTAAAAAAAAAAAAAAAAAATATACATAAAAAGAAAAGATCTTCCCTGCACATTTATCAAAGAAAGAAAATCTTCAAAGAGGAAAAAAAGGCTGTTATTAACCAATTAATTATCCCCGCTCTCCTCTCCTCTTCATGTGGGCTGCTTTTCATGTATTTCAGTTTTGGGAGGTGGTGGGAAAATTTTTCCACTGTTTGCTCTTCATTTGACTGAATTCAAATGATATTGTAAATAAATTTTCTCCTCTTCCTCCATTGTGTGAAAGTCTTAATTGAAAAAAAAAAAGACAAATCTTCAATTACCAGCCTAAGTAATTCAGATTGTCATCAAATTATTATTTTTACATATTCTTGTTATTTTTTTTTCCTGTATTTTTTGAAACCAGATACAATTAGCATTAAATTTTCTTCCAATCACTCTGAACTTGGCAGATTTCAGTTAACAAATTTAGTCTGTTTACTAATGATACAAGAGCTTACATTATGGATGTTCAAAAAGGACATATTTTTAATATCAATCTCACTGATATTTTTCACCTCTACAGACCTGAAACTACATAATTGTTATTGTTTCATGATTGTCTAATGTTTGGTAGCTTTAAAGGGAATAACAAAGTTTTTAAAAATGTATTCTTTAATCTTTTTCTTTGTTCTTAAGACTAATTTTTCTGTATACATTTTTTTTATTTTTTAAAATATAACTAAAATTTTCTGTTGTAGAATTATTTTCCAAAACCATTGGAAATGATTCAATTATTGAAAACTGTTATAAAATCCTTAAAAATAAAGTAAAATGAAGAAAAAAAATCTTTAAAATATTAATTTTTTTAAAAAGAAATTGTTTTGTTTTTGTTAAAAGTAAACATTTTTAAATGTGGGGTTACTTGTTTTCATGCCAAAATTATAAGAAATTGTCAGGTAAAATTGCCAACTATTCCCCACTTTTCAGGATTGAAGTTCTTCAGATTTATTAACCAGTTTAACTGCTAAACCTTCCAAACTCCTTGCAACATTTTTTTAATTGATTTTGGGAGATTAGGAAGGCAAAATTATTGCATTGTTTTCTTTTTTTTGTGTTGTATTAAAAAAAAAAAAAGCAAAAAACAAAAACTGTTAAGATTTTTTTTTTTCTTATTGGCTGTGGAGGTTTCATAAGGTGGTTAAATCAGTCCATTACAAGAGAAGAAAAAAGCTCAGAATCGTGTGGATGAGTTTAGTGTTCATTTATATATATATATATATATATATATATATATAAAAGATGTAATTAAGCAAACTTTCTGAATTATCCTCCCCTCAAAAACAAAGCAAAATGGATTTAAAAAAAAAATCCCTCTTTGAAATGAGAAATATTGTTTTGGAAATGGTTAATTGAAAATACAATGACAATGCAAACTATTCAAGCTATATCACAAATTTTAATGATGCAACCAAAATTGTGAAAAAAAAAAAAAATTGTGGGTCCGGGGAAGCCAAAAAATATGCAAAATGTGAATATTTTTTTCTTTATAGGAATCTTTTTTACCTCCCTGCTCCAACCTCAGTTCCCAATTAATTTGGGAATGCCCAAAAATTTTAGACATTTGATGTCATTAATATGTAACTCAAGTAGACATCACACATACACACACTTAAAATATGTATTCCCCCCCCAAAAAAAAAATTTAAAAAAAAATTGCTCCATTCCAATGTTTTTTTATGTACTAAAACATTTTAATAAAAAAATGATGAAAATGAAGATAATCACCATGCTACCAATATGAATATCACTATTATTACAATTATTACATAAGAAACTGGTACAAGGTGTTTGCCCTGTGTTACATCATAGCAGGATGTTTATTGGAGTTTTGAGTAATGGCCAAACTTTGATGGTGTTTAATCATTTCTCTCTACAGAGCTGCAGTTTCTGTGTATTAATAAAAATATAAATAAAAATAAAAAAAAACTGAACTGTACATTCATCTCTATGATGTTATCAGAAGATTCTCACAATTTACTGTAAAATAATAAAAGAAATTGCAGATTTTTTTTTTTTTTTTTTTATTATTGTTGTTGAGAATCTTCCATTTGGCGCAATAAAATTGAGAATATATTCTAAGAAATGTTTATTTTTTAATTTTCTTTTCTTATATCAATATTGTTGTTGGCAGTTTGACTAACAAGCTTTTAACGCTTCCTCTGATGTGGACATACTTGTGTCTGTTTTTACAAAACTTACATTATCTGCTGCTAATATATACATACACAGATATACACATACATACACACATATATATGTGTGTGTGTGTGTCTTCATGAAATTTCCATTGCTTGCTGTCAATACACCCTCTCTCTCATGCATATGTGCACATACATTTGGGCAGCGATCTGGTTTTCAATTCTTACTATTTTTCTTCTATTAGGACTAAGCGCATGTAGAAATTGTCTGTAGTGCTTATCTCAACTGCTTTCAGCTTGTATATTTTAACATTGTTCAATAATGGGGGTTAATTTTTGTCCATATATTTTATTTTTGCTTTTAAAGACCCTGTTAAATGTTGGTCCCAAACTTTTGTTATAAACTATTGCCATTTCCAAACCAACACAGACATAGTTGTATACAATACAACAAATTTTGTAACATTTCTTTTTATTATATTAGGTGGTGTAGAGTATTCAATTGAAACTGAAATGGCTGCCAATAGTCATTTATTTCCAGTAAATGGCAATTTCCTACCCCCCCCCAAAAAAAAAAAAAAACTTACCAGCACAGCCAGACAAAGTAGTCAAAGCATTAATTCTATATTTTACATCAGATATACTTAGCTTTCTAGCATTCTCTTTGTATTATTTGCATAGGTTTATTGGTTTATTGAATTTTTTATTTTATTTCATCCAGTATACAGAACTGATAAAAGTTGAATGCTTAGAGAAAATTGTTTCCATCTTTGGCTTAACTGCCATTTATTGGGCACATGGCTCTGCTGGTAAACAACAACTTAAATAAAACAGTTGACTAAATAGAATGAACCACATTGACTAAAATAGTGATACAGTCTCATCACAATATTTTCATTAGTACATTTCTGGTCTCATTAAACAATCAGATTATTATAATTGAACTAGTGTTACTACTTTATCTACTGTTAATTAGGTTGAATATAATTGTTTATTGAAGGCAACTCAAGCAAGATACTAGGCTCAGTTATCTGATTTAAATTAGTTAAGTTTTCTTTTAATTTATAGTCACCATAATTACCATCACTATGTGCCTATCAATTCCATTGTCATCTTTTTGGGTTACCTTCCAGAACTGTGCCCAGTAAATGGTAGTCATGCACCATTTTCTGCAAGATGGTTTTGAAAGTTGTTTCAATTGGAAAATTAAGATTCTGAAGTTAGTGGAATTAAGCAATGTCTATACTTGTAGTACTGATAAACTAGAATGAAATTAGTTGATATAATCTTTGGATTGAGGAAATCATTATTTACATACAGACATATTAATTATTACATTTCGGCCATGTGCCCTCTGGCCATCATCAGGTGTATGTTGATCCGGGTTACCTACAGGGAATCCTGAACTGAACCCTTTATTTAATCTGCAGGAGTAAACTGTTCTCATTCCATTGCCCATGTCTAGGGATATCTCTAAATTAAAAAAAAAAAAAAAAGTATCTAAATCTACATTCTTTTCCAGCTTCTAATAAAAAAAAAAAAAAATCACTAAGATTTTAATGTTCGCTTGAATACAGTATTTCCTGTTATATATGATGCGCTTTCCTACTTCTAATAAAACTCTCTCAAATCATGTCACTAATCTAATCCTGCTAATTTAACTTATCCCTGAACACTTGTTTAACACCCTCATCCCACGATGACCCAATGAAGTATATATAAGTGATTAAATCCTGGTCACACACACACACACACACACACACACACTATATGAAGTTGAATCTAATTTACTGGCATATTCCTTGTTAATTTAAATGTTACATAACTGGATTAGAGTGCATACTCTCTACTCTTCAGGCTGGGATGAATGTGTAGCTTTTCCTTTAAAGCTAAGATAGAGACAGTCACTTTCCTCACAAATTTACCAGAGAGAGATTCAAACCTGGTGTTGTTGCCGAAAGAAACGTTCTCTCTTTCACTCTCACGCACAATCATTAAAAATAAGCATGGTAAAACGCTTGAAAATACTATTTAATGATATAAATGTTAAATTTCTTTCAGAAAATGACTGCCTACTCTGCCAAATTCATCTGTTAATTTAGACATTCAACTATCTGAATTTATTTTATTTTATTCTACTAGCAGTAGAGCCCGGCATTGCCCGGGGACGTAACAGTTAAGAGAGAGATCAAGTATCGACCATCATAAAGACTGAAAAATAAAATTGACAAAGATTATTGTTTAAGGTTGACGGACACGCATGTCTTAATTAGTTTTATTTATTTTATTTTTTATTTTTTTTTACGAATTGGTCAAACAAAAACATTGTTTTCAATCGTTATGAGTCTACCGATTGAATAGAATTTTATTATAAACAATTGTCTTGTAAATGTAATTTTTAAAGCATTCTGAATGTAAAAATAAAGAAAAAGTATGCAAGACAATAAGAAACACTACCTGCCACCGCCCCCCCCACGCCAAAAGTGAAGTTTTGTTGAAATCGGTTGAAAAATGTAGGAAATCAGATCCCATATATAAACGAACACACACAACCTGGGTTTTATAAGTATAACTTGATATGAGTTGTCCTCCTTTCATTCTCGCGATGCCTCTTAATCGTGTTTTCAAATTGATTTCATGCAAAAACAATTGTGTTTTTCCAATGTTTGGCGCTGTTAGAACCAAGGTAATTTTATGTAGTCCTGTGAAGTTTTGTTGAAATCGGTTGAAAAATGTAGGAAATACGATCCAATATATAAACGAACACACACACACACAACCTGGGTTTTATAAGTATGATTTTATTTTATTTTTATTCGAACATTTTTTGATCCCTGTCCCGAGGTGTGATGATCATTGAAGTATTATCCTTTTGGCCTGTCTTCCTATTCGACACTTGGCTTTTTGATTGCTTGAGTTGAGAATCTTTCTTCCTGTTTGCTGATTGTGATAGATGATCAGCTCGTAATACCGTTAACTTCGTTAATATTCAGAAAATTGAGATCAGGCATTTGTTAAAAATGAAACTTTCTGATTTTAAAAACCATACAGTCTGTAAATTAGGAAATAAAGCTAAATTGTAATATTTTTTTCTCTGGGTAAATAATGAACAGCAAAATGGAAAACTTATTTGTGACGTTTCATTCCAAGCACAAACAACTCTAGAATAAGTTTTATAAATTTTTATATATAAAGCTCGCTCACTGATTGGTCGATGCCAACCAATCAGATCTTTTCCACATGATAAATAATTCTTTAAGCTCAACGATTTGGAGCCTATAGTCGCTTATTTAAGCCAAGATTTTTCTAATCCCAATTAGTGAGAATTCAACTGCCAAACGAACCCACGACAGTTGAAACCATACGCCAACTTTCTCACTTACACACACCACTCACATGCTGAACATACCTTGTACACACTCACATAAACTCTTCTTACACAGCAATATCTTTCAAGAACAATCATTACAAGAGACTCTCATGAACATTCTTCCAGTAAACTTTGAACCAAATGATTGTTTCTCATTGAACACTAAAATAACATTTAAAGAGAGACAACTCTTGTTTATTCCAACCTTTTCTTACTTAAATGCATGCTTTCTTTCACATCGTTGTTTGATGTTGTACATCTTGTTAAAATACATATTTTATGTGTAACAATGGCTTTGGCTTATCCTTTTCTGCGTCAGTCCTGTTTCCTAATCTAAAGTTAAATTATTGTGGTGAAGTCCGTCACAGTATGATACTCAATATACATTTACAATAAATGATTCCAAAATTAGTGCATTTTCAATACATTTTTGCCTAAAATTACTTTACCTTTTAAGACTGCATTCTCTAAGTTGAAATTAGACCTATTTAAGTATAAATTATTTTATTTGCTTAAATATACGTTATTCAAATAATTATTAAAAAAAATTCCTCTGTAAAATATCTGTACATGTTATTCTTCTCTTGTCCCACTCCTTCGACTTCGTTACTATTTTTTCTTAATCCTTTTTCCATCGGTTCAGACCGTTATAACCAGAACCACTTCCATGGAGTCGAATCCTCCTTATTTCCTCCATATTTCAAATGTAAAAAGGAAAGTTCCACCCGGTTTTTTCTCAAGAACTGCCACTTTGTGGAACTGTCTCTTGCGTGGTAGCCTCCCTTAACACTTCAATCTTGCCTCTTTACGTCAAAATGTCATCTTTCCTCGTTTAGCCGCACAAACTTTGTTCCCTACCGCCTTCTCTTTCATTCATATTACTCATTTATTATAACCATTTTGACTATAACCCTCTACCTTGAGTGTCCGTTGGGACTTGTATTGAGTGAATTATTTTTATTTTTTTAAATAATAATTACTAATCTATTCCTGTAGTTGTAAAAAAAAAAAGAAAAAAAACAACTGACAACTTATAGTAGCAACAAACGTTTGCAACAGATTTCTTCTGTCTCTCGACCGCAACACTTGTAGCCAAATCACAATTCAAACAATAGTCCGTCGTAACAGTGCAACAAGCAATGTAGAAACAACAAAAATGGGGTCGCACATCCAACCTTCACTTTTCACCAGCAAAAACGTGTGTTTGTCCACCAACCTCAGAAAATCTAATCCACACATAAGCGAAAAACAATGGCTCTTTTTTTTTTTTTTTTTTTCACCGAGAGATCTTTCTGATTGGTCATACCATTCAGGGGAGGGAAGAACATTAGCATAGATTCTGGTCCATAATGTAGATTTTTGCTAACTACTTTTTGGTAATTTTTCTTCGGCTGATCGCACACAAAACCCGAACTCTTTTTCGAGTTAGCTGATTATCTCTTTCACTACAATTCCCGAAAAATAAAGTTTTATTTACTTATGAATCGACACTTAGGATTCAGAGTATAAGTACGCTTTGTCGAAGAGCAGAACAAAGCTCTCCTCTATTGAAGCTGAGAGTCAGTATTATCAAAATTTATGCGCATTTTTCCTAGTTTTTTTTAAAAAAAAAAAATTATCAAGAATCAGGTAATTATCAGATTTAGGACATAGCTGTAAGAATTATTTGATGAATATAATGTGAATACCTTTTTTATATATATATATATATATATATATATATATATATATATATATATATATATATTTAACTAACCAGTAATCTTAAAATTTAGGAAAATATTCTAAGTAATATAATATTTTAGTGATTTTAACTTTACTATACTTACCACTCTTATTTTTTGATAATGTCGTGTATGGACATCCGTATTCATATCTTTAGATTCTTATTTACTAGCAACAGAAACGGCAATTGATGGGCGCCTTAGAAAAATTAGCCCAAGCCTTAAAAACAAACCCTTTCTCTTTTTTCCCGCCTTATCTCCCGAACACCTTAACTTCCCCCGTTTGACATAGTCGTCACCTAATGGTCCCGTAATGAACTATATATGTGATTAAATTATGATCACACGCACAAACTAATATAAATATTCACATTTGTATCTCTCACTCACTAACTCACACACACGAGTGTGTGTGATTAATATAAATGTGAAATTTATCACTTAACTGACTGATGTTATATTTACCACCCCGACTCCAGAGTTTCGTAGAAGGACCTTTTTAGTAATCGCCTTGTCCATACGTCAGAAGTTATCAGCAATTGACTGCTCATTTTCGTTATTTTTATATTAAGTTAAAAAAATAATTTACGCACTTTTTTATTGGTGTAAGGTTGATTTTTTCTTCATTGTGTGCGTAAGTGAAAATTTCAGATATAACTAAAATATTTATGTTATATACAGATATATAATATATCTGTAAAAGGAAAATATGAATAAAGACAAAAATAGCTTATCTTATCCGACGCGTTTATCTTCTGATGGACTTTATCAAGGCAAATGTGATATTTGCCTTCATAAAGACAGGGGTCTGGAAATTCCGACCTTACGGCACCACCTTTCTCATTGCACTAAACAGAGAAAGAAAGGATGTTGGTGTTAGCTTGAAAGTGGTCGCGGGTACTGGACAGTTTTAGTCCTTGGCTCATTTGTACGTGTATGGACACCCCGTTTTAAACCAACTTTGTCTCACATCCTGCTAGTGAGGTAGTTAAATATCAAGTGAACGCTTCCAGGTCTTCGCAAAGAAGCATTCATCCACAGTCGTCATGTAAACAGTACTTTTGTTTACGAATGTACGCACTCTCGGACTCTGCGGTTAGTGAAAGACGTCTCTTTCCAAAGCCAAATTTTTAGTATTTTATTCTATGGAATAAATATTTCATAAAATTTCAGTTTGTCTTTTATTTTTGTTTCGTTCTGTATCGTTTTGTCGAAAAAAAAAAAACAAAACATCCGGGGATATAGACACCAGCTCGGAAATACACAAATATTAAACAATAAAAAAAAAAAAAATATTAAAACAGGGAGAACTTTTTTTGAAAGTCGAAAATCTTGGTTTATTTAAAAATATGAAATGGTGATGATAAAACGAAAAGGAAATCTTTTTTTCATTCTTTTTCACAGTTCTTTATGAGAACCAATCTTTTTTTTCTTTTTGCGTCTGGGATGACCGTATTCATCATAGAACATCTCCTCTTTCCGGTGAATACGTATTGGTTTTGGAGTTGTCGTAGAAGCATGTAACCGGGCATATAGTTCCTCTTTACTCATGTCCATCACGCAACGAAAACCAATGTTACCAGATGAGTAATTTGGTTTACGACCGATCCTAGAAAAAAAAAAAAAAAATTAAAACATCAGTTAAATAACAAAAGCCTACAAATTTTGATAGTGAAATGCTTCAGGGAATATTTTGGCTAGTTTTGAATAATTTGAGGAGACTGAATCCAAAATAGAAAAAATTGAAATACAAAAGAAATATAAAGCAATAATAAGTGATTAAAATTTGAATACTGAGAGCAATTTGTAGTCATGGCAAAAACTTTCACTTATTTGATTTTTGCGAATGCTTAGATTTGTTCCATTTTATCCATCCATCCATCCATCCATCCATCAGTATAAGGGAGAGCACTCAATTTACTTTTTTAACAGAAATGATCTAAGGGAGGTAATTCACTTTCAGCAATTATACAGTGAGCTGCGCGGAAAACGTTTTTTTTTCAGCGCTAGTGAATTGTTTTCTTATTAATAATGAAAAAAATTGACATCGTCATTTTGACATTTTTTTTTACATTTAGTCTCTTAAAAAATGTAAAATCATGTGTGAGATGAACATGCGGTAAACACTAAAATTAACGAATAAATTTTTTTAACACGCAATGAAAATATATCTTTACAGAGATTCTGATACGCGTATATATATATATATATAAAAAAGTATATAATTGTATATACGGAAAATTCAATAACCAACAATTACTATTCTTAAAAGAGTGCTCAATACAAATAGAGCGTATTTAAAAAAATTTATAACATAATATATATATATATATATATATATATATATATATATATATACTGTTTCTCTTTGACTGTTTTGGAATGTATTCTCATTCGTTTTTAGATTATTTTTTTCTTTTAAAATTTCTGGTCTAGATTATTGAGGATTCTTTATCTGACAAATTTACGGTATGTTTCTTAATGTATTTTTTTCTTTGTCAGCTTTAAGCCCAGTTTTTTAATTGCTTATTTGATTTCCAGAATTCTGGTTTTATATACCTATATGCACGCATAGATACATATATAATGCATACATATATAATGTATATACAAAAACGTTTGATAAGGTATTATACAAAGACCTATTTAAAATTTATTTAATCGAATTACCCCAAACAAGGCGAAACCATTGAAAGTCTAAACTAATGTCTGTGAAGTTAGATTTGGTTTCTGTAACACTATGATTTACACAAGAATCACACAATGAGGCAATGTGAAAAGGAATTCTGTCTGAATTTCTGGGATGAGGAGTTATCATTATTTAAATTATTTACAAGCAGACTGTTGTAACCTCATCTTTGAAATTTCGGTGTTGTGTTTGTCGATCCGGGCAACCGTCAGGAAATTTCCACCTGAACTCTTTATTTAATCTATGGAGGTATATTGTCGTCATTCCGCTGTCTAGGGATATCTCATCTATTTCTATTAGTACTGCTTCTTTATTATTAATCTTGTTTCCACTGAGTCCAAGTACACACTTCCCGGCCCAGGGATTGAACTCACAATTACTATTATTATAGTCTATCTGAATTCTTGACTTAAATTCTTGTGAGATTGATCCTGTTCAGGACTGTTTTTGTTTGTGTATACGTATCCCACGAGCTGGTTTTCATGATCAGAAAACGCAAACAGTTCCCAAATCTGACATAATAAATGCATTCTTCATTTTTTTTATGTGCGAAGTCCTTTCAGAACGTGGGTAATCATGGCTCATTAAAATTTCCTGTATTTTGTTGTGCTAAGTAAACTTAAATTTATGTAGTCGGGGCACCAGAACAGTTGCCATGAAAATATTTGTAGAGAAGATAGCGGGAAGCCACATTATATATGTGAGAAAGTGACAGGAGTCGAGATGCTAAGTCAAGATTATAATATTTAATTCCAATTCATATGTATATATACAGGCTGTCCATAAGTTCGTGTGCACTTTAAAAAAATTATAACTTTATTTGTATTTACAATAGAAATAATCTGTAAAAAATGTTATAAAGTTTAATGTACCTAGTTTTAAGTATAGCTAAAATAACTTATGTGATTTCAGGCATTAGTGTAAATCAGTTGGCAAATGTTTTCCGTGAACTGCAAAATCGTATTACCCTTTGTATTGCTAATGATAGAGAACATATTGAAACTTAAATAAAATTTCAATAAAACCTTAAAAAATATAGATTTACTTATTTCTTCTCCTTGTTACAAATTATTTCTATCGCAAATATAAATAAAGTTATAAATTTTTAAAGTGCACACGAACTTTATGGACACTCTGTATTTGACAATACTTTCTTTGCCGTCGGAATATCATATTCATCTTCTCTGTTCAATTCAAAGAGTTTCCGACTATTAGTCTATCCTATCGCTTCCGTATCGATCTAATAGCAGAGAGTGCGGCAGAAATATCTTCGACATAATGGTAAGACATTAGTGGCAATGGTGTCTTCATCTAGCTAATGTCTTACCATTATCTGAGAGGTATGTGTAGAAGGCGTTTCTGCCGGAATGTTTCAGATGAGGACGCACACGTACACATATATACCCACATACATTTATGTGTACAGTAAACAAAAGAGTATTGAATCGTTATGTAATATCAGTACTTTTATATGTCAGCGACAATTTATATATATATATATATATATATATATATATATATATATATATATATATATATATATATATATATATGGGGTGTCCATGAAGTTCGTGTGCAGGGGAAGACTTACGCACTCAGCTCCCCTTTTCGCATTGCTGCTAGCCAGCGGCGGTAACTGAAAGCGAGAAGCGACAAGCACTACCACTACAGATTACCACACTAGACGCATCACAACAGCCGATGAGATCCTTTGATATATATATATATATATAATAATGGACTCTCCCGTCGGTTTCGACGTATGAGGATCTGACAGTTTAATTGATTCAGTTATAAAATTTTGTGCGATAATCTTAAGTGGCATTTAAGACCCGCTAGTGATTTACAAAGGAGGCCACAATTATGTTATAATTTTTAAATAAATAATTATATATATATATATATATATATATATATATATATATATATATATATATATATTAATTTTTTTTTAAAGGATGTTTTTATCTGACTATTTTTATTACTATAAACGTATTTTTAGCGGGTATAAATGTTTGCATTACTAACTTTGTTTTTTGTTTTTTTTTAAATCGTAAGATTAATAACAACCGGCCTAAATTGAGAAGTTCTACTAAAGAAAAAATTGTGCCTTCAACAGGAATCGAACCCGCATCCCTTTCTTTCCATGAAGAAAAAATATATGCATTCTATTCTTCACATTCGTCACACATACATTAGTATTGGTGTTGATATAAATTAACTACGCATTTACTTATATTGTAGGATTTAAGCACTAGACTGCATTATAGAAGTATAAAAGATAGAGAAAAAAATATATATAACAGAACTTAAGGAAGCTAAAAAAGTCATTTATCTATATCAGGGTCCGTCAAAGTTTTTCGAACAGAGATTAATTTTTATTTCTCTTCCTTTTCCAGTGACCTCCATTTAAAATACCTTTGAACCTTGAGACTTGCACTGATATTGGCAATTTAAAATTTTAACTAAAATGTATAAACAGTTAATAAATTTGGATGAAGTTCAAAATCACCCTCGTTTTCCCCAAAAAATATATTTAAGAAAAAAAAGTAAATAACACCAATGAATCAAGGAAATAATATATTAAGTACACCAAGCTTAAATACAGCCGATTCATTTGAACAAAAAAGCATAAACGTTACTAATATTCAATTAGTAAGGTATTGTATGTAAAGAAGATGGTTAAAACTGGGATTGAGATGTTTCAAATGCAAAGCTCTGAAATTAGTGCCCTATAAAAGGCAAAAGATGGGTATGCTTGGAGATGTATGAAAAGAGCAGAACGGAATCTTTTTTTGATGGGTTTGACACTTGGTTTGACCCTGGAATTCCTCACCGACATCAATTGGATCACCTGGACATCGCTTGACGACCTCTGATCTATACAAATTGATGTAATGAATATGCATACACCTGGGTTCCCCCTCACAGTAATATGATTGGCTGTTGTCAGCCATAAATACAGACTGATGTGGAGGTACAGGATGACACCTATTGAGTACGCCTATAGTTTTCGCCTATTGCCTACCACTTCGATGAGGACCAGTCCATTACGGTTACCTGCTAGATTGTCCTACCCGGTTACAGTAATCCCAAACTACTTTCCTACTTCGAAGAAATATATCCCTTTCTGGGACATATCACGAATAAAAGGAAGTGTCTGTTTCTTCACAATATATTCAAAAACTATGGACTGAATTTCAACCAAACTTGGCATACAGATAGTCTATAACCCAGTGAGTATTATAGGCTATGTAAAATTGATCCAGGTCAAATCTGAATGTCGTGAAAGGTTAAAAAAATGTTAAATAAGTCATTTCTCGGAGAAGGTATATATTTATTCCCACGTAAAACTAAACTGGCAAGGGAAATAATTTCCTTTTTATTTTTAGTAAATTAATGCGTAGTTATTTCCCTTAGCTTTCTTAATAACACTTGGGAACAAATTTCAATTTTTTGTCTATTGAATTAGATTTAACAGTTTGTTCTATCTAATTTGGGGGCTTTGAGCACACGATTTTACTCGATTTTGCTTCATCAGGTCCTGATTTTGCTCAAAGCCGTTCATCTTTCGTCGTATTCATAAAAGAGGTTTTTTTTTATCTCAATACTCGCTAATAATTCTTTTTGAGTACATATTTCATAATAAGTTCCTTAAACCAAGGTGTTAATTTTCGGCGGTCTACAAATAGGAAAATTAAGGACAGCAATTTTCTTAATGTCATGAATGAACGCAAAAATGCCTGGTTTTCTCATTCGTGGACTTGATAGAAAACCTTTTAGGCAATTATAGAGCAGGTAACTACGAAGAAATCATAAAAAAATTTGAAGGGACTACAAAGAGTTAGGTTTCAATATGAGCATAAAAATGCACGTTTTGAATAGCCATCTTGACTAATTTCCAAGTAATTTAGGTGATTTAAGTGACAAACAAGTGGGGAGATTCCACCAAGATATCAAAATTATAGAGGAATGGTACCATAGGTCTCTGGGATTCACACACTGCTGGTACTTGAAAAAAAAAAGTGCTATCAACAAGCAAATAAGCTAGAAAGTTTTGTAAAAGAAAATTTTTGTCACGGTGAAAGCTTTATATCTGTTTGTTTTTTTATTTTAAGTCATTTCTATCATTATAATGTAATTTTACTGTAGTCAGAACTGCTTGTATTCATTAACTTGAAAAAACATTTAATACATGACTTAATTTTTTTTAGTTCTAATTAGAAAAATCTGAAAAAATGGCACATAGACTGTTGACAAGAATCAGGACCTGATAGAGTCAAATAGAGTTGAAATTCGTATACAGTGCACCCAAATTACTTAGAATCAATCGTCAGAAATTTAAATAAACTACAAATTCTGTCCGTCCGTAGTGTCTGAAATCCCCTCTAATTCGGGACACACTTGCTCTACGTTTTTTTTTTTGAATCAAGAACATTAAAGACAGCAATGTTCCTAATGCGATGAATGAACGCGAATAAAATGCCTGGTTCTCGTGGACTTGATAGAAGACTTTAGGCAATTATAAAGCAGATAACTACGAAGAAATAGTAAAAGAATTTCTAAGGGACAACAAAGAGTTAGATTGTAATATGAACATAAAAACGCATTTTTTGAATCGCCATCTTGACCAATTTCCAAGAAATATTAGGTGATGTAAGTGACGAACAAGGAAAGAGATTCCACCAAGATATCAAAATTATGTAGGAATGGTACCAAGGCCGCTGGGATTCCCACATGATGACTGATAACTGCCGGTACTTGAAAAGAGATCTGCCACCAACAAGCAAATGCGCTGGAAGGTCTGATAAAAGAAAGCTTTTGCCACGGTGAAAGGTTTATATCTCTTTGTTTTTTTTTTTATTTTAAGTCATTTCTATCATTATAATGTAATTATACTGTAGTCTGAATTGCTTGTATTCATGAAACTTGAAAAAAAATTTAACATATGACTTAATTTTTTTTAGTTCTAATTAGAAAAATATGGAAAATGGCACATTGACTGTTGACAAGAATCATTATTAGTTTGGCAGAATCAATTTTGAGTGTTTGTTTTTTATACAGCACACTCAAATTACCTAGAGTCAAGCGTTAAATATCATTCAATAAAATACGTGTTCCCCAGTGAATCTATACCAGTGATCCTTAAACTTTTTTTACTCTAGGGAGCACTTGTAGAATAACTAAAACTCTGGGACTCTTTTTAAATTTTAAATTCGTCTATTTTAAATGTGGTTCTACAGAAATGTGGTTTCATGCTGAGGATACCATTGACAGAACACCTGAGAAACGATGAGGTTTTGGAGAAAATGAAAACAAAAAGGAAACTCATATTGAACAGACAGTTGAAATTTCTGGGCCACATATAATGAGGAAGGAAGGCTTGGAAAATCTGATACTCATAGGACAGATTGAGGAACTGAGGAAAACAGCGCATTGATGAACTTGAGTAAATGGATGGCGGAACAGGTTTTAGAAGAAATAAAAAAAAAGACGAAATTTATTACGAGCTACAAAGGACATGAAACTGTGGAGAGCCATGATCACCTCCGTCCGAGGGGGGGGGGACACAGCACATAAAGAAGAAGAAATAGTGCGAATGACGCATGCGCATTTAAAACGTACTTTTATTTTGAAAAATGGCTAAAAATCCCCCTCCTTCATTATATTTGAAGTTCAGTTCTCTCGCAAGTTAATTTTAGTACCAAAACTCATTACCATAGACTATAATTTTACCTCAGGTTGTCACTTCTACCTAGTACGACTCCATAATAATATTATTTACCCAAAGATTATTATTATTATTATTATTATTATTATTATTATTATTATTATTATTATTTTCTTTGATTTCTGTCGTTTACACATTTCTTTCCGGGTCCCGCCCAGGGACCTAAGGTTAGAAATGGCATCATGACACTTTCCACTGACAAAAAAAAAAAAAAAAAAAATTACATATTATTATTATTATTATTTGTGTATGTTATATTTCCTGCTTTGTATCCTGTCTTTCTTTTGTGTTTATTTTTGTATGTTTCGTGTGCTTCTACAATGAAATATGTTGCATGTAGACTGTTTACCAGAGTAGACAAAGACAAGTGTCATTATGTGTATGTTAAAACAAAGAAAAACGTTTATCTTACTTGTTGGCAGTTCTCACAATATAGTTGTGATTACCATCCCTAGTGTCGATGAAGGATCCACCTTTGAGTGTGTAGCGTAGTGGTTGAGTAGCACGGTCAATGACCCGATCATAATATTTGGTTGTGGTCCATTCCCACACATTACCAAGCATATCGTACATCCCTATATAAAGGGAAAAAGGACATTTTTATAATATAGATAAAAAAAAAAAAATATAATATATATATATATATATATATATATATATATATATATATATATATATATATATATATATATATGTATTGGTGTGTATGTTGAAAAAGTATAAAAGAAATTGCTGCCCACCTTTGATGGCGTACTGCTCTTTCTCAATAATAATAATAAAATGTCGTTTAAAGCGAATAATATGGGATATAAACAGCCTCAGATATGCAAACTTAAATATGAACAGAATTGAGATAGATAGATAGAGATAAACAGACGGTGATAGATGGATATGAACAGAGATAGATACAATAAATAGATAGATAGATAGATAGAAGATAGAGAGAACGAAAATGACATGAACAGACTGAGATAGATAATCAAAATATATATTAATATATATATATATATATATATATATATATATATATATATATATATATATATATATATATATATATATAGACACACACACAAAGGTTACTGAGATAGATAGATAGGGATAGATAGTGACACACACATATATATGTGTGACATGTATTCTATATATCTATATATCTATCTATGTCAGTCTGTTAATCTCTCTCTCTCTCTCTCTCTCTCTCTATATATATATATATATATATATATATATATATATGTATATATATATATATATATATATATATTCATATCTACCTATCTTAGTCTGTTCATGTCTATCACAGTTCGTTTTTATCTATCTATCTATCTATCTATCTATCTATCTATCTATCTATCTATCTATGTCTGTTCATATATAATTATCTATGTAAACAATCACAGACTATCATCACTGTCTTGTCCGTATATTGCTTAATATATTGTACCGTAATTGACATCTTTGATAATGGCTTATGTAAGCCGAAAGCTTAGATTGGATTAAAAAATATGGATCAATATTGTGATTTTCTTTCTTCGTTTAATGATAATGTTATTAAGCCTATCAGACGTTATGAAAAGAATTTACATAAAATAAATAGACAACACTTGTCTATATTATTTAATGAAACATGTATGAATAAATATATATATATATATATATATATATATATAAAAAAATATTATGCTTTGTTTTACATGTAAAACAAAGCATAATATTTTTTCTAAATAAATCCACATTACAACCAAAAACTTTTGCGGCACCTCTCTTCTCTTCTTTTTAATATACATACTTTTCTCTCGTTGGAACCACTACAACCTCTTTTCTTATATATATATATATATATATATATATATATATATATATATATATATATATATATATATATATATATATATATTCATATCTACCTATCTCAGTCTGTTCATGTCTATCACAGTTCGTTTCTATCTATCTATCTATCTATATATCTATCTATATTCTGTTCATATATATATATATATATATATATATGTATGAAAACACTGAGATATGAACAAACTGAGACTAAGATAGGTAGCTGTTATTGAGATCAATTTAATGTTCGTGAGTTTTCATTTTGGTACATTAAATACAGGACATTTTTTTAAAAACAAACTTTTGAAACTGTATGCCGTCAAATAACCTGAGTGAATTCGTGCAACACTCGGAGTGAAACTGATAGAAATTATAAATTCAATGTTGCATCCAGGATACAAAACACTTCGTAAGTTAAGCTCTGCAAACTTCCACAGGCTGAAAATGGGTCTTGTACCTTTGCTTTTAATACATATTTAACAATCTCATCAAGGCTTAATATTGTACTCACCATAATCGTTCTGTGCAGGGAAAGCATCGACAGGACTAGTGTTGTCATAACCGTCATATTTTTTGTCCTCAGTTGGATACTCGCCCTGCAAAAGGAAACACCCGCGTTAACAGACACTATAAGATTTATTGAATCAGTCCTCAAAAGCTAGCTACAGTAAGTTTATATAGTTAAAAATCATGTCCTGCTTTTATGAAATATGGCGAAGAACCATTTTCTCGCCGATGTTATTTCATAGATATTTAAAGTTGTTTTAACGGCCATACCGGGCAAAAATTCCCAAGACCCCACCTCGGCAATTCCTCTTTTGGGAACGCCTCAGGCCCTGGGCAATAAACCCAGCCCCTTCCCACGTGAGAGGTACTGCCTGAAATTATTTTCTAAGCACAAGGCCGAAAGTGTGGGGCACCCAGTGAGGATCGAATTCACTATTCAGTCGTAATTGATCGAGCTAAACCATCTTGCTAACCATTGCACCATGTCGAAGTGCCCCGGTGATTTTCTAAGCGTAGCTTAGATGTAGCACAAGGCCGAAAGTCTGCGGCACCCAGTGAGTCGTAATTGATTTCGCGGAATTGAAAATTGGAGAGCCGAGTTCCAATTCCAGTTGGGTTCGTTATATTCACTTACGCGCAAAAACCCTTGGGAAACAGTATGAATCCACATCTTCTCCTCCTGCCATAGGTTTCGTATGACTTGTATCAGTCAATCATTATTACCGCCCCCAAATTCATACAATCTAAAAATATTTTCTGACTTTAAATAACCTTCAAAAGTTTGATAAACCGTAATTTAATTAATAATAATAATAATAATAATAATAATAATAATAATAATAATAATAAATCACCAGACTGAGGCCTACGGGATGTGGTCACCCAAGTCTATAAGATTAATTTGGTAGCTACGAACTACTAACTGTGAGGACCATGATTTTTATTAAGTACAAGACCTCATGTGTGGGGTACTCAGTGAGGAGTGTAATCATCGAAGCAGTAATCCCCTGTGAGACTAGCTTGCTTGTCATCGCCCTACAAATGTTTTGTATTATTCGTTATCTAAGGGAAAATGGCTTTTTCTCTCATTCAAATCAAACCGTTGTCTTTTAAACAGGAGTAGGGGTTTATCCATTGTTCCCGGTTTCTTTTAAGGTAATTTCTATTCTCTTTCGCTCCCAGTAGTTCTATTTTATGTTCTGTTTTATTCAACCTCTCTCGCCTTTAATATGTCATGTCAGTGTCAAATTTTCTAAGCCCTCTTTCCTCATTATGTACCATAGAAAATTTCAACTGTCTCTTTCTGATGTTAAGCGTCTTTTTTGTTTCCATTTTCTCTAAAACTTCATTATGTTCAGTCCATGATATTCTCAGCATCCTTCTGTAGAACCACATTTCTGTTGCCTAAAGTCTCTTCTTCATCTGTTGTCCAGCATTCACTGCTATATAGGAGAACTGATCCAAAGTCAAAATACTATTCGGATCGATTCTCCTCCATGACATCCCCCCCCCTATTTCAATCTCTTTTACAAGAATATTTGGGTATATTCAAAGTGTTTCAACAGTTATGGACATAGTTACCTGTATACGTGACAATCTTTTGCGGTCATCAAACAAGGTTTTGATATCTGTTTTCTTAAATTTTTAGTTTCACCCTGGGGATCAACTGGCAGACTTTTCTTTAGTTCTTGCCTCACACGGAGAAGATAATATCAAACTTTCAACGTATTTTATTTTTCTCCTTCTGAAGAAAAAAACGTTTGTTATATACTTCTGACATTTTCTTGTCTGATCTATTCAATGTCGTTTGCACAGTTGCCAGTAAATTACCGTTCCCACCCAGTCATATCTATTTTGGTTCTCCTTTTCGGTTAATTTGTTATATTTCCTAATATTATGTATCACTGATTCATTTCTCTCCACACGTGGGTAATATTTGCTAATTTTATTGGATTCTCCCTGTTTTGAAATCGAGTTAATTAATTTCTAATAATTTTATTCAGTATCTGTCTATATTTCTGAGATGAGGTATTATGTACATTATTTACATTATTCGGACTATTGTCCTCATCTTTGTCGCCATATTTATTACAACGTTTCGGCCGTTGTACGCTCCGGCCTTCTTCAGGTGGTTGGAATATCAAACTGAACCCTTTATTTCGCTCACTGGGGTAGACTGTTCTAGTTCCACGTGCCATATCCAATGGAGGTCAGTTATCAGTTATCTCCTGTTAATTTTCCCTCTGAAAGTTCTTCACCGCCACATGGCACAGTGGATAAAGGCATTAGTTAGATCCAGTGACAGGAACCAAAGAGTGTGAGTTCAATACCTGGTTAAGACGGTGGAGAAGTCTATGAAGTCTATTCATATCTATCTATCTATCTATCAAAGTCTATTCATATCTGTCTATCTTATTCTGTTCAAATCTATCTAGTTACATTTTTTTAAATTGCCGTGAAAACGTTTGAGCTGCTGTATTCTGTTTTAACGAGCTTTGTAATTCTTTTACGGACTGAAAAAATAATCTTGGAAATTTTGAGATAGTGTAGAGTGTATTCGATCCAAATTAGGTGCCTATCATTCGCGACCTTGTGTCGCTCTAAATCATGTTAAGTAATTAGAGCGCCTCGCCATGGAGCCATAGTTAGAAAGCTATCGAAATCATGTCACTCGCCACTGAGTAATGGTTAACAAACTAGTTTTGCCACTACTATGCAGTGGGTTTGATCCTCACTGAGGGCCAAACACTTTTACCCTGATGCCGTACAAGATTGTTTAGAGATTGCCTCGCAATGGTTAGCAAACTACTCTCATAGACGATTACGACAAATTGGTAAATTTAATTTTCACAAGATGCTCGACAACTGTGTCTTTGTGTTGTAATAACACCAGAAAATATTCTGGCCTTTCCATGGGCAGTGGTTAGCAAGCTAATTTCACAGGACACTATTGCTGGGTACATCAAAGCTAAGCTTAATGTATAACTACTCAAATAATAATAATAATAATAATAATAATAATAATAATAACATCAACAACAAATGTCAAGTCACGATATTACGGATTAGAGTGAATGAAAGTTTTCATATATTCGTTTAATAAATCCTACCAATGGGTATATTGAGTTTTATATATTTGTACCCCGGCGTCCTTCTGTTAGCGTGCTGCTCTTTCGCTAAATAATAATAATAATAATAATAATAATAATAATGCAGATTCTGTGATAAATATCCAGAAACAATTGACAGTCTTGTGTCAGGTTGCACAGTGTTAGAACCCACTGAATATAAAACTCGGCATGATAGAGTGGGTCAATATCTGCATTGGAAAAATATGCAACTTTTACAGGAAGGAAACTGCAATAAACTGTCATGAACATCACCCAGATCCGGTTACAGAGAGAGAGGACCTGTAACAATTTCATGGAACTTTACAATACACACAGACAGAACAATCAATGGCCTGACATCGTGATCAAAGACCACAAGAAGAGAATGTGCTTTCTTATTTGACATAGCAGCCCTGCAGATTGTAATGTATCTTTGAAGAACTTCAAAAATCTATCAAAATAAAAAGATCTTTAAGTTTAAATCTTAAAAATGTGGCAGATGAAGACATCAACAATTTCAGTTGTAGTTGGAGCCTTCGGATTGATTGGAAATGTTCCGATAGACTTATTGAAGGGATTCCTGGTATCCCATTCCTTAAAGTAATACCAAAAATTGTACTCACAAATACAGCCCACACGTTACAAAGGGCTTTATCTATGTAAAATATGTGCAATTTTTTTTTCAAAACTGCTCAGTTGAAAATCTCATGAAACCATTTCTGACCTTAGGTCTCTGGTTGGGACCCGGAAAGAAATAAGTATACACCAGAAATCAAAGGAAATAGAATCTAATAATAATAATAATAATAATAATAATAATAATAATAAAATGCGTCAGCGAGCACATTGTGTTGGGATGTTTATCAACAATTCTTATGGACATCTCGGCTGACCCCAACAAATACATAAATACATCTCTCTCTCTCTCTCTCTCTCTCTCTCTCTCTCTCTCTCTCTTATTTCCTTAAACTCCGCTGAGGAACATAAAGTCACAACTTTACTATTGCTATGGCGGTTTCCTTATCAAGTAGATTTTTGCGAAGTAGAGTTGCTCGCCCCACACTCAACCGATTTTGAATTTAAAGTTCTAGTTTGGTTGCTAACCATCAGCGGAGAGTCTAGTCTTTCCTGATATGTAACCTAGGTAAGATAGGTAAAAAAGGAGATAGATTCATAATTTTCCCAAGGGTATTTGTGCAAAAGTGAACGCAACGGAGTCGGTTGGCATTTGAACCTGGCATGCCGATTCCATTTTCTGCGCCGATAACGTTCACTGATTCCAAACAATACAAGTATATAAATTTATGTAAAATTACGAACGTTTATAACTGTAAACATTTTGAAAAGAGTTTTTAAAAAATCTGTAAAAATACCTGCCACACGTTCATTCTCATTTTCATATATCTGTCTCCCCACGGATAGGCTTGATCTGTCAGCGAGAAAGAAAACATTTTACAGTGACTGATGGTGTCATCTATAATGATCTGATTTCTTTTTGTGTGTGTGTGTTTTTTTTTGTCACTGTAATAGCCAAAATGGCACATAGTAGCAATACCACCGTTATAATAGTCAACTTGAAGAATAGAACAATTTCTAGAGCAATTTCCAACTTAATAAAAGAGCGTGACTTCCGTTCGCTCTTAACCCGATAATCTGCACAATGACTTGATTTCTCAAGGGAGATAATTCCATTTACATTACATGCTAATTATTGAATAGTTTTTTTTTTTAAATTAATTTATTTTCGAATAATTTACTGTTTTATACGGCACCAATTTCTACGTGTCTGCTATAGGAAAACACTAGTTTCGTGACATAAATCCTATTGGACATGTTTGGTTTATTTTGAATTGGGAAGTAACGAAAATGTTTTATGTTTTCGATGAAGTTTCATCAGATATTCCACACTTGAAAATAGCAAATCTGATAAAAATTCATGTTTGAATGAAGTAAAGACGTGGCTGCTGGCACGTCCATCAAATTCTAATTTGCCTAATTTTGAATTATTTAGATCATTGAATAAAGACTTTTCTTTAAAGACAGATATGTGTATTCAGTTTTGTTACGCTTCTGTAAAAAGAATAAAATATGGCGTACTGTCTAATCCTCCTCTGGCTGCATATTCCCACTCCATATCAGTGGGCAAACGTTTTCCAACCCAGAAACAATAGGCGTGGGCATCTTCATAACTTATATGAACGACTGGGTGAGACATTCGATCTTCAATATTGCTGAGGAATCCTTCGGGCTGGAAAAAAAGACGATAAAATTAATAATAATAATAATGATAAGAGCAACAGTATTTTTAATAATCGAAAAATAATAACAAACAAAATTATTTTAAATAATAACTTAAATTCTAGTGACAAATATTAACGTCTTTCTTAGTGACAAGGGCACTCGAATTTGGAAGCAGCCCAGTTTTTTAGACTAGAATATATATATATATATATATATATATATATATATATATATATATATATATATAGAGAGAGAGAGAGAGAGAGAGAGTGAGAAAGTTTATGAAAAACTAGGTAATCCGTATGGGTAAACCTAAGGAGGATAAAATCCAAGAGCTCAATGTAAATCCAGAGCAAATAATTTGGTGAAATAATAATGTGGTGAAATAATTTATTACATGGAACATTAAAGTGGTCTGTTTTTATTTAATATATATATATATATATATATATATATATATATATATATATTTTTTTTTTTTTAAAAAAAAAAGAATGAAATTAAAAAAAGTAACCTTCAGATTTACGAATGTAATTTTTCGATGTTTATTTTCAGGACAAAACGTTATATATATATATATATATATATATATATATATATATATATATATATATATATATATAAATAAATATATATATATATATATATATATATATATATATATATATATATATATATATAATATAAACCTAAAAATTTAAGGTAAGCTAACCTAAACAAAATCAACTATGGAATCTCTACAAATATCCTTAAATGTCTATAACTGGTAACAGAAGCCATTGGTTTATACCAACGGCTTCCCATACTGAGGATCCGTTTAGGTGAAATCTAGGTAGGTTTATCTGGCTCTTTAGGTTTATATCATGTTTGCTGTACTTCGTGTATTGAGCACTTTACGGAGTTTTACTTTTACTCGTTTTGGATGTTTTTTTTTCTTTGGACTCAATTTCATGTTCTTAGTTCTTTCTTTTTTACCCCATATTTTTCCTTGGGTACTGGTTTGTTCAACTACAAGCCGAAATACCTAAGGTTTTTTCAAAAAGCAGTACCACTATATATATATATATATATATATATATATATATATATATATATATATATAAAAAAAAGGCTTAAACACTAATATTCCATGGTCATAATTTATTATAAAATTAATTCATATATATATATGTTTAATCATTTCACCCAAAATCAAGGTGGGAAAAGAAATTTTTACGTGGTGTTTGGAAGAGTGAAGGTGAGAAAAAAACTGGGTATATATATATATGGGCGAGGAAAGGATAAAAGTAGAAGTGGCGGTTATATTTAACTAATTCAATAGTATGTTAATGGGACCTAGATGCCAATCTAGTAACACACTTAAACTCACGTAATCTAGGCACCAGAGAAAAAAGCTCGTCACAGCAGTAGTCATGAAAATATTTGTAGAACAGATGGAGGGAAGCCATATCATATTGGTGAGAAAGTCACTGAACCGAGATGCCAAGTTAGGTTCGATTACATTGCAGATCCTTCTTTGGTTTTTGTTAACAATCTCTAGATAAATAGCAGGAGCACCAGACCAGATATGGCAACAGTATTCAATGCACTAAACTTGTAGATGGACAAGACGGGCTCTGACGGGAAAAATCATCTATCACGACACAGTGACCTAACTTTCCTTGCATAGATGCAGCTATTGATTTGATGTAGTCGTTCTAACTCGTCAGCTGAAATTATGAGGCCAAGAGTTTCGCATCAGCCATGCTGATGGCGGACAGGAAAGTTTCTCTATGATGGTTAAATGAGAGCAGTTTCGTTTTGGAGGCATTGAGATTTACAAGCCATTTCCTGTCCAAGTTAACCACGAGTTGGAGGTCCTTTTCAAGAGCAGCAGCCAGGTTTACTTTATCAACTCTGACAGAATTGCGACGTGAGTTTAAGCGTGCTACTAGATTGGCATTGACAGGAGTAAATGATAGTGTAATCTGCATAAATGCCTACTTGTGAACTGATGACATCTGGATGATCGTTGATAAAGATCAGAAACAGCGTAGGACCCAGGATAGAGACTTGGGGAACATCCGCGTTCATGTGAAAGGATCTAGAAGCGAGACTTTTCAAAACGACCTTGCACGATTTGATAGGAACGATTGTATTAAATCAATCAATCGTCCTGTAATACTACCTTAGCCTTGGAGTTTACGTAGAAAACGAGCGAAACGGAGGCCATATTGTTTGTCAGAGAGTAGGTCGTGAGAAGATGCTTAACCGCTTCAGCACTGATTAAAGCTTCGAATACTTTTGCCGAAAAGCGGCAGGAGACTAATAGGGGCATAGTTAGAGATCTCAGAAGCTTCTGCAGAGTTCTTAAAAACAGGAACTACACAGTAAAGCATGAAGCAGCAAGGCAATAGTTGTAGAGTTTGAAGAGCTATTGATTTGATGTTTGCTATTGGGACAGGAGTGTATGGTATTGTTTATCCTGAAGGAAGTGTGTTACAGTTAAACAGTCGTCTGCAAAAGCTGATCACGAACAGTTTGTATAATCGTCTTAGTTTGGAAAAATATATATATATATATATATATATATATATATATATATATATATATATATATATTATTAAGACATATTTTTTGTTTTCATTTATTGTTTTTTTATAGATAAAAGTATTTAAGCAAATGCTCTGTTTATGATAAACAGTATTAAATAACATTTACCGGCCTGAATACTGTTTAATAATAATGTTTAATTTAATACTGTTTATCATAAACAGAGCATTTGCTTAAATACTTGTATCTATAAAATAACAACGTTAAACATAAAAATATGTAAAAATAAATAAATTGTCGGACCTTGTCCATTTCTTAATATATATATATATATATATATATATATATATTCATACATGTTTCATTAAATAATATAGACAAGTGTTGTCTATTTATTTTATGTAAATTCTTTTCATAACGTCCATATTTTTTAATCCAATCTAAGCTTTCGGCTTACATAAGCCATGTCAATTACTGTACAATATATAAAGCAATATACGGACAAGACAGTTATGATAGTCTGTGATTGTTTACAAGGAAGATTTCCAAGCAACGATAAACACGTGCATATAAGACGCTAGAAGCGAAAATCGCACCGCAGCTCATGACGTCACACATGACCACGCGAGAGTGAATTCGAGAACTATTAAGTATGGGAATCTGTTGGTATAAACCAATGGCTTCTGTTACCAATTATAGACATTTAAGGATATTTGTAGAGATTCCATAGTTGATTTTGTTTAGGTTAGGTTTCAACTGTTTGATGTATATGGCTTCAAGGATTTTTAGTTTTTGTCTATTGTTTTCATGTTTAAGTATAATTGTGTTTTCGACATGGATTTTACGGAATTGACATCTTTGATAATGGCTTATGTAAGCCGAAAGCTTAGATTGGATTAAAAAATATGGATCAATATTGTGATTTTCTTTCTTCGTTTAATGATAAAGTTATTAAGCTTATCAGAATATTTAGAATCCGCGAATACTTGTAACCCCACAAGTGCTTATAAGTACCTATTTTGATTGTTAAAACCCCATATGCCTTAAACTTCCATCCTAAATACTTTAGAAACATTTCAGGCCATTTTTAAAAACATTTTTGAAAAATAGTACGTAAATTTTCTTTCATACGTATAACCGTTTTTAATTATACATAGATCGATACAACTATTAAAAATATTGTTTAAAATATGTCTAACAAGACGTAAAATATAATGTTTAAAACACTTTCTAAAAACAGAATTTTCATGATGCCCCCAGTCATAAGCCACTTTTAAGCAGCCCCTAACAAAGAACAAAACCAAAGCACTACGCATGTTTTTGCGTTTGTTTTTTTTTTAAATGAAGTTGTACAATTCTGCCAATTTTTACCATAAAATGGTCGGGTCTATGTTTTAAGTCACGTAAATAACAGGAAAATAATACAAGAATAATTTAAATATGTTCTATCGAAAAAAATACGCGAATCGAGGGAATTCTTAGCGAATAGTTTGTACATATCATATGTATTTCAGAAAAAACCGCGAATATTGGGGGTTTCCGCGAATAACAAGTACATACGTTCTAAAGAAAAATCCGTGAATGTGTGAAGCCGCGAATGCTGAAACGCGGATAGGCGGGGGGCTCACTCTATAACATGAGCTCCTCTTTTTTATATAATTTTTTAACTAACAAGTAATCTTTAAAATTTAGGAAAATATTCTAAGTAATCTAATATTTTAGTGAATTCTATGTACTTTGACTTTAAATTTACTATAGTTATCGCTCTTATTTTCTGATTTACAAAAATCGGCACGTTTATATACAAACAAAAAAATTTCAAAATTCTTTTAAAAATACTGGGAATCAGTGAATCGTAGTAATATTTTCCATTTATGATTAGTAAATACAGATTTTACTTAATAACAATATTATCTAACCATTACAAATTAATACAGAATTTTCAAAGATTTAAAACTTTGTAAATTATTCCAATTAAAATTTTAAAAAAAATAAGAATTCTTGTAAAAATTCATTATTTATCGAAAATTTTTTTCTTACCACAATAGTGTCCATAATATATATTGTTCAGTAAAGCAATTAAAAGTTTTTCTAATTAAATAATGTCTTAGTTTTATTACATTTTTCATTTTTTACGGTTCAGAGCAGATTTTCAGTAACTAGGGGTCCTGTTTTACAAAATAAAATTGATTTAAATTCTCTAAGGACTTCTTATAATGAATATAAACATTAAGCACGGCAAAAATGAATTTCTCGAAATTTCATAAAATTAAATAAGTGGGATGTAACAGATGCAAAAAATATTTTTACCAAGACTTTCTAAATGAGAAATATTTCTAAAATAATTTCATTCATTTGTGAATGAATGTCCTGAAATTTTCATTAGAATCTGACAATTATTTGATTTTTGTAAGAATTTCCAAATCAATGTATTTTTCACCGCAAAAAAAAAGAAAAAAAAAAGACGCTAAAATTTACTATACTAATTCATATTCAATTTTAACCACAATTTTGAAGGTTCTACACAAGATTAAAATATATAATTTAATAATCATAAAATCCTTTGTTCTTTCCTTTTAATAATAACGTAAGGATTTTGTTGATAAAACTGTTTTTATTACGTTTGGGTCATTTTTTCATTATATCTTTGGCGGTACCTATATTAAAGCAAACGTTGTATTAAAATAATTTGAAAAATATGGCAGATCCTTACCTTATTCCATGTAGTACCGCGAACATTATACCAGCCATCCTGAACAGGGTCCTCCTTGAAGGTTTGCTTTTGACCATCGGACAGGAAATTCACAAACACGGATGAATATTCTTTGTCTTCGGCTTCCGTTTTGTAGCGAGTTTTCGTTTGCTTAAATTTTCTGAAACACCCAATTAAAATGCAACATTAAAATAGTCACTTGAATTACGAAGACGTCGAAATTCCAGCAGGGGCTTGTCTTGTGAGAAGAGTGAAAGTGAGTGAGTGGTTCTTAGGGACGAAATATGTTTGTGTGAATTGAGATAAAAAAAAATCCAAGATTCAAATGACGATCCCAATAAGTGTTTTTATTTTACACTGAACAAGAAGAATGTGAAACGTAGCGTAACGGTTGGTAGCGTGGTAATTGGAACCAGCGTTCCGAGTTCAAATCCAGACAGTGTTTCATTAACTTCACACTATAGGAAAGGCATCACTGATCGCGCTCCTCCAGCTATGGACTAAATAACAGTGCAGAGTATTCTTGCTAGTTTTGGCTGACAACTAATCTAGGAGAAAAAAAACTCTGGATTATAACTCTCGTAAGTAATTGACTACTCTAGGCTCTTTAGCCTTGGCAGGGTAAACTGTGTAGAGAAGCGCAACTCTCAATTCAAAACAAACCTGAAGAGGGACGGGCTCCGTCAGGTTCTCCTGACCCTGACATATCCATTGTTTACTAAGGCTCCAGTACATGTGGTACCTATAAAACCCTAACTGTTTATGGTGCTCGTGATCATGAACAAGAATAACAGACATTGGAGTCAGCTTTTACGTTCACAGTCATGGTTGACTATGATGATTGTTGTTGATGCAGCCTGAGGAAAGTAGTTGTTGGAGTTTAGTTCACTCACATGGTTTTGTGATTTTGTCTAGTTATATGATTATAGGTCAGAGTTCAAGGAGAAATGAATTCGTCTTACCCAAATGTATTTGCGCAAATCAAACCTTATCAATTTCAGGCTAAATTCGAACAAAATTTCATTTTGCGTCACTTCTTATCATCATGCTGTAAACTTATTTTAACAAGGAAACTAGTCAGCATTACACTAGATCCTACTTTCACCATTTTTAGACGTGGACTCTGGCGGACGATGTATGCATGAAGCAATACGTAAAGTTGTAGTGTATGTGTGGTAGTATAGCTGTTTAGTGTATGTGTGGTAGTATAGCAGTTATGGAACCCGAACAGGATTCAGTAGCATTTAATGGCGGAATTGTTGTTGGAGCTAGAAAGATGGGCCACTCTATTTCCGAGGTGACAACGGCCCTTTATTTAACTCGGGCAATAGGAGTAAGGAAATTGTGACGATCATCATCATCACACACATACATACTTACTTATGCAAATTCAAATTATACAACCACAAGCATTCATTGGATAGTAAATCAACACTATTGTGCAATGCGACAATTTTATAATCGCTATATTTTCATGTAGTCGACTTTGTACACTTTTGGGAGAATCGGATCCCAGAAACTTTTCGTGAGTCTCCCCAAAGCTCGCTGGCTGATTGGTCAATGCCAACCAATCAGATTGTCTGCACGTGAAGAGTGATTCTTCCCGCGCAGAGCTTTCGGAGCCGATGATCCCCTATATAAGAAAAGAAAATCCTTAGTAAATTAGTGAGATGTCAGCTGCCACAGAAATCCACGACAGTTGAAACCATGTGCCAATCTTCTCACTCACACCACCACTCACATGTTGAATATTCCCTATACTCACATAATATTTTTTTACACAGCAAAACTGTTGGAAACATTTATTACCAGAAACTATTACAACCTTATTGCTTTCAGTGAACTTTGGAACAGTTGATAGTTAAAGAGAGACAACTCTTGTTTTACACAATGCATGCTTTTCTTTCACATCCTTGTTTGTACATCTTGTTAAATACACATTTTATGTGTAATGATGATCTGGAAGGCCACCACAGAATAACCAGGAATATATGTTAATTCCGAACAGACAGTGCCACGTGAAAACGGTGGATGTAGACAGGTGATAAAAGAACAAGATCTCCAGCGACTGATAAGCATAGTAGTAATCCAACGAAAAGGAATATTACATCAGAACACATCACATCTCAATCCACGAGCCAACATAAAGCTTAGTGGGCTTTCATAGTGGCTTCATAGCAGTAGACTAACAAAAATACCATTATTGATAGCACAGCATCGGTTACTGTTCTTTATCTGAACCAGCGAAAATCTCGTTTGAACCATGTTACGCTTGCAGTACTTCATCTGGTTAGACAAATCGCATTTCCAGTTCTGTTGGGTAGACAGTCGAATTACATAAGACTATGGATCAAGCGTTTCAGATCGGTGCTGTCTAAGTTGGAGTAGCCCTATAGATGGCGTGGTGTGTGTTTTGTTGGAACTCGCAAAGACTACTACTTTAAATCGAGTTTGTCTTGTCAGGTGTAATGTACACAGATCTTACTGCAGGTAATTGGCAACCCCTCATACGCATATAGTGATATTTTGTCCAGGCAAGCGTGATTGTGGGCAAGAAACAGCATTCAAGAACACTCTGACTAACCTCCAGCTACACCAATGAGCCACCCAGCGAGTTTACCAGATTTCAACTCCATTGAAAATGAAAACTATATATCGTAGCCACCACTCAGTTATAAACATTCCTGGAACATGTCCTGGTAGATATATCCGTGCAACGACTCCAGCAGCTTGTAAACTCTCTACCACGTCGCATAGGTGCTGTTATTCAGGCGAAGTTAGCTGCACCTTACTAGGTGCATGTCTATAATTTTTGGCACTACAGTTCACAGTAGCAACTTCACAGGTGCAACACATTTCTGGTCTCAAACAAGACAGCTGTAAGCTTAAGAACTATCTATAGTTCTCAAGTTTATAGTGCAATGAGTATTTTTAAAATAATTTCACCCCAAACAAGACGATATAACCATTAAGACGTAAAGAGTTACTGAGCATGAAAGAGTCTGAAATAAAACATTATTAAAGTTTGGTTTGATTTAGTTTATTTTGTTTTACAGTATATCAACCTCAATGGGCTATTTAATACCAGTATGATTTTTATTGCTGGTAATATATTTAAAAAAAATGTATTACTGTCAATAATTTTTTTCAAAAAATCTATTGCTGGTATTTTGCTATAAAAACATATATTTACACTTTCATAGTATTTTGACTCAAGTTTGGGGGTTAACTAGTTGCCCATAGATAGGACCCTAACAGGTACTACCACCCCGGGGAAGGGTGGACCTGTGAATAATAGCACTTAAGAGGTGGTTCCATGTTCCTCAAAACCTCCAGATCAGAGGCCTTGCTGTCGGATGTGGTCTCTCGTCATACCCAGGACGACATTATTAACCAGAGAGGACAATAAAAGTACAAGTTTCAATCTATTAGCACACTTAAATTCATGCAATCGATGTATCAAGTCGGATTGCTTGTTAGAACAATTGCCACGAAAATATTTATAGAAAAGGCAGAGGGGAGCCATATTACAGTGGTGTGAAAATGACTGAAGCCGAGATGATAGGTCAGAACCGATAACTTTAGAATAAAGTAGTGTATGTATAGAAAGCCAATGTTTTCGTATAACCACTCCCGTACTAGTTCTCTATGCACAGGTACAGACAACATGGAAGAACTAATTAAAAGAAGGATGAGGGTTTAAGGTTGAGTGAGCGAGAAATGCACTAATAATAATAATAATAATAATAAAACAACCAAAAAAAAAAAAAAACAGCGCTGCCGCTAAAGCGTCATTGATTGATGATTTTTACAAAAAGAAACGAAGAATTGAATTAATTTACTGATATATAAGTTTTACATATATCATTGATTTTAATATATTTTCAGTTTTCTCTCGTAAACATTAACGGTCGTTATAAACTGCTGGCCTCGGTTTCAAAGTCACTCTTCGCCATTGTTATAATACTTATATTTAAGCAGCAAGAATCCATCCAAAAAAGTTTTGTTAAATTCAACCGATAAACTCTGTTTAAAGTTTTATTGTATTTTCTAATTTTCGAATAAGATGTAAATAGACATCAAAATTTTAGATAAACAGTCTAACATTCATGTTTTGGACTGTTTTGTTCAAGTACCGTCTTAGTCCTTATCAATAACTGGCTTTTGTCAGTTTAGGTGAACAAGATTTTGTTGGATACATCCAGGTATTTTTTTAGAGCGATGGAATTACATATGACGTTACTTTGGATTGATTCGTATTCCAAGCCTCTAAAAGAATACCAGGATATTGACAACAAAATTTTATCTAGCACAATACAACACCAAGTTCTTGAAAATGGCTGAAACAGTCGAAAGTACTTCAGACAGTTTATCCACAAATAAGATCCCAGTGTGCAAGATCTTATTCGAAAAATGCAATCAAAAATGAAACAGACACATTCGGTCGTTGTGTATTCCGGCCTTCTTTAGGTGCTTGTCGAGTTGGGTAACCTTCAGAGAATTTCGAACTGAACCATTTCTTTAATTTATGGGAGTATATTGGTCTCGTTTCGCTGTCCATGTCTAGGGGAGATAACTCGTCTTATTCTGATTGAGTACGGAACGGTTATTGCTCGCCTGTTTTCCACTGAGTCTAAGTGTGCACTACCCAGAACAGAATTGAACTCACAATTACTATCTCACCAAACACACGAACTAATGCTTTAATTCACAAGGCTATTGTAACGACGATAGTGAAGGTTTAGTAGAGACAGGGCGAGCAATAACTAGGCAGCACTAAATAAGAACAAGATATTCCTGGATATGGACAGTGGGTTGAGAACAATCTACCCCTGTAGATTAAATAAAGTGTTAATAAAGTGTTCAGTTTGAAATTCCCCGAAGGTTACTGAGATCAACAAACACCTGAAGAAAGTCGGAAAACACAACGACCGAAACATTGCGATAAGAACAACAAAGGACAGTAGTTCGAGTGTAGATAATGTAAGTTATGACAATTTTTCATCCCAGAAATTTAGGAAGAAAATTATAAAAGATTTCACCTATATTGTGCATTGGTCACTGGATATCTGTCGATATAATACGGTCGTACATAAGAATTGTAAACAGGATATTCGCCCGTTCTGGAAGAAGGATCATTGATTCCCGTGCGAAAATTGCCGCCTTCCAGGAATACCATCGATTCATATTTGGAGAAGAAATAGTTTTCAACTGAAAAAGAAAAAAAATCGGTTCCATTATTTATTAAAAAATATGAAGACAATGAAAAACTTACTTTTTCCTTCGATAAGAATTTTGTTTGGAAAGTAAACAACCATTTAAAATTAACGAAAAAAATAGACGACCTAGGACATAGTCCGCTTCAAAGCAATTTACTTCGAGCCTTAGACACTTAACCAAACTTCCCTTTCAGTTTTAAAAACAGACTGCAAAGATGTCTTTGCGTTTTCTTTAATCGTGTACATCGCATTTCAGTAGCGATTCCAGTTTTATAAGGAGCCAAACATAGACTGTAGGTTGGGGTTGGGGGGTTGTTTTCACCGACCAAAATTGGATGAGAAGATTTCTTTTGACTCCACCCCTACAAAAAAAAGAGTAATCCATGCAGAAGATATCGAGGGACTGCTCGCGTTGTCATTACAAATACGACGGTTAAAAAGACTTTCTCAAAAGCACTTCACTGCCGACTGAGTGAGCCCACGTAAAAGTACTAGTTCATGTACAAGCAGTAAGATCACTCCTACTGATTAGTTGCGAGGTTATATAAAAAACAATATTGGGGCAAAATTTTTTCTTGTGACGCGTTTCATCCATTACGATTTCATTGGACGAAATGCGTCACAAGAAAAATTTTTCTACTTTGTTATACATTTTCCTCCAATACATACATACATACATATATATATATATATATATATATATATATATATATATATATATATATATATATATTGGTTGGTTGGAAAAGATTCCAGGAGACTAATTGGATTTCTGGAAGTCCATGCCTCGAAGAGATACAAAAAATTGTTCTCACAAGTACAGCCCACACTTTACGAAGGGCTTTATATATGTAATTTTTTTTTGTCAGTGGAAAGTGTCATGATGTCATTTCTAACCTTAGGTCCCTGGGCGGGATCCGGAAAGAAATGTGTAAACGCCAGAAATCAAAGGAAATAATAATAATAATAATAATTACTTTGATGTAACAATGGGTAACTATGATGTTACAGAAGTATGCAAACACATAGGCATATATATAATCATATAATATAATATCATATATCATATCATATCATATAATATAATAATAATATAATATATAATAATATAATATAATATAATAATCATATAATAATCATATAATAATAATAATAATAACAATAATAATAATAATAATAGCAATAACAATAATAATAATAACAACAACAACAATAATAATAACGAGATTAACCTATTACTGCATAAAGTTTCCTCAAACTGTCTATCTTTTTTGCCTTATCTGACTTGTTCACTAATAGTAATCTTAAGGCTGGCGGATTTTAAATCTTAGGTAGCCTTCTTTCGAAAAAAAATGTACGCCATGCATCAATAGGTTAATTAGTTTCTGCATCTCAGCTTAGAAGAAATTAATTAAAACAAAGACCGTATAAAATTAACAAATTAATCAATCCAGAGATTTTCCCCAAACTTTTAGCCTCTGGTGTATATGCTTTGGTTTCATCAGTACGACCATGGGCTTTATCACAAGAAACTCATTTTGTCCATCAAATATTTATTTTTCAATGTGAGGAAGAGAGAAAAAGGAAGAGAGGGAGGAGGCGGAAGTAATAGAAAGAGTGAGTGTAAAAGAGAGGAAAAGTGAGGGAAGCAGAGAAAGATTGTAGATAGAAATTAACATTGCATATATAATATTTTTTGAATCATTTCACCCAAGGCAAGGCGATAAAGGCACTCAGACGTAAGAGGTGTGGGTTACTAAGATTGAAAAAAAAAAAACTAAGAAAAACGATATTGAGGAGATAGGCAACTAAGAGAACAGGATAAAAAAAGAAATATGACGACAAATGACTTGCATTTTGATATTTGAATATCATAGTTGACAGGAAAGCAAGACGCCGAAAGAGAGTTCTACAAGAGAAAAATACGAAAGAAGAAACTATTGGAATAGAACTTGCGGTTAGATTTAGAAATTTAAACTGTTAAATGATGAAGCCCAGCTGCTAATCTATTTCTCACTCACAAACACACGCAAGCACACACACATATATATATAGTTATTTTCCAAGCGTAGCTTAGATGCGGCACAAGGCCGAAAGTATCGAACTCACTACTCAGTCGTAATTGTTCTAGCGAGACAAACTCGCTAACCATTACACCACCTGGAGGTGCCCAAACACACACGTATATATATGTATATATAAACAATTTATATATATGTCATGGCCTTAGCCACATATGCCTCGAAGGTAACTTCACAAAATTTCACCTTCCAAGGCAAAGGCAGGTTTTTCAGATATATAGCTTGTAGATGATAAAAATGTATTGTTGGTAATCTTTTAATAAAAATGTATTGTTCGTGATTTTATTCTAAAATTTATTACTGGTCATTTTACTAAAAAATGTATTTATTGGTATTTTTTTTTTAGAAAAAATGTATTGCTGGTAATTTCACTACAAATATGTATTGCTGTATGTATTCAGGAGGCACGGTGGAGAAATGGAGAGCCGAGTTCGAATTCCAGTCGAATCCATTACATTCACTTACGTGCTAATACCCTTGGGAAATGTATGAATCCTCTTCTTCTCCCTCCAGCTATGGGTAAATAGCAGGACAGACTGGGTTCTATAGCCTTGGTTGGCAACTGGTCTAGGAGAAGGACAACTCTACACAAACCCGGAGTGGAGCCCCTAAGGCGGATGGACGACACTTTGTGCTACCTTCCGGCAACTCCTGCAGCCGTGCTGGTACCAAACTGTATTGGTTTATCCTCTCCTTTGGACTCTGCTAGCAAGGCCGAGAATGGGAACTAGACGTCTGGGCAGCCCTAGTTCTACATATATATCGTCCAGGCTCGTAGCGCACCGCGCTACTCCATCGTCTCTCGGGACGGACGGATGCCGACGACGATGTATTGCTGGTAATTTTATTATAAAAATGTATATTTATACTTTCCTAGTATTTTGAGTTTTGTTTGTGGCGTCCACTATTTGCCCTAACAGGTGCTACCACATCGATGTTCAAAGGAAAAATCATTAAAATAACAAGCATAAGTTTATCAGGTGATCACAGAGGAAATTTAGAAACGGAGTTATTAAAAAAGTATGAACTTAGCACAACATCTCGAAAATGTTTAAAATATAGTTACTCGGGCACGAGGTATAGATTAGGTAGGTATTCAGACGAAGCCAACAACACAAACATACGATACGATTATCTAAAAAATACATTAGTATTTGTTGATATTTCCATAATTAGCAATCATAAATATACTTAGAGCTTATCTTTATTGATAAACACTTTTGTAAAAGAGCACGTAGTTATTTAAAAAAGCTATACATATATATTTTAAGACATTTTTTATGTTTATACATTCTTTTTATAGATACAAATATTTAAATAAATGCTCTGTTTTATAATAAACAGTATTAATGACATTTACCGGCCTGAATGTCCGAGAAATTTTCACAGAAAATATGCGTCCTCCGACAAGAATCGAACCTGTATCCTATACGGAGCCGTCATTTAGCCTGACGTGCCTTAACCGATCGAGCCACGGAGAATCGTTCGATTAGCAAGGTCGATTTTACTATTTTTAAACTTCAATCTTCCATGAATCTCTCACGTACATTCATATCTGCTCAAAGCGTATCCAAATGTAAACAAATGATGTCACATATTATGAAATGGACAAAGTCCGACAATTATTTAAGACAGTTTTTTTAAGACATTTTTATGTGTAACGCCATCACTTGATAAGACACCAGAAATGTTGAAACAAAATGGCTATTTTTGTAGTGATTTTATAACATATTTATGTTTTATGTTATAATTTTCGAATAAATAATTATATATATATATATATATATATATATATATATATATATATATATATATATATATATGTAAAATCAATTCATCCCAAGCAACGGGATAATACCACTAGGACGCAAAGAGAATGAGGAGGCTTTACAAGATACCGGAAAGCCAATCCGATACAGGAAGCAAGGGATAAGTCTCTACTCCTGTTCAAATACTAGGAGTGTCATATATATTAATTGAAAAAACAAAAAACAAAACAAAAAACAAAACAAAAAACGAACAAAGTCCTAAAACAACAGATGAAATAAAATAACTTTCAGTCGCAGAACTAATATATTAACTATCAGTAATTAAAAACATACTGGGCCTGTTTACATAATTACTGCAAACGGCCTTACATTTCTTGTGACCGGCCAACAGTTGACACTATCAATACAACAAAACATCTTTTAAACTTAAAACATACTAAGTACCGAACTACATGTTCGAAGAAAAAAAAAAAAAAATAGAACAAATTAAACAATCCCCCAAAAACTAAAAAAAAAACCCAAGAAACCAAAAAAAAAACAAAAAAAAAACAACAACCACAAAAAACAAAATAAAGCAGAACAAATAAATATATTGAATTTAAAGATAATAAAATATTCATAACATATTTCGATCTTGAAAATGAACAATTTTAGTCGAGACAGCTGAAAGGTTTACACACGAATGATTTTTACAGAATATAATAAAGAAACAAACCTAAAATGCCTAAAATAGCAAGTCAGGAATTTGTGGGAAAGCCATAATTCCAGTCGGAATTGAAAGTAATCCGAGAAAGATGCCCGTTGCTAACTAAAAAGTAAATTACCACAAAACAATTTAAAAAAACCAAAAAAACCAAAAAAACCATTTCAGCTATCTTCTATCGGCGCGCACAGTCAACGTCTCCGAGTTGTTTGCTTCAAACACTCCATAGCGCTTCATTGACTGCAGACAGAAATGTACAAACGATAAAGGTTATTGTAATTATCTAGTTAGAAAGCGAACATGCAGAGTAAAAGTTTAAAAAAGGATGACTTAAAATATTATTATAACATGATTTCACTCTTCACCCTCCGACATCTTATCGTCTGACATGGCTGCTATTCAGTCTG